AAAGACAACCACATTTCCCTTACAGTTGCCAACGTTTAGGTGGTTAACGACACTTAACTCTGTTGTATTACCTACGGGAAACAAAATACTGAAAGTTTGTGTTTCAGAAGAAGGTGTCCCGTGGATGGCCTCGAAAACCTTGTCCCATCAGAGAAAGATTAAACGGGTCTCTGGGCGTTGTGTCTTGGTTGGACAGACTAAAAATAAAACTTGGGGAATTAACAGAAAAGATGTATGTACGGATGACTCATTGTCACGGGGCAATCCTTCCAAAGTCATAACAAATAATACACATCACAGCTAAGTCAAACCACTCCAAAGTCATCTCCAAAGATCGTCTATGAAAGCGATTACTGGAACAGTCATCAAAAGTGACATTTTATCTATTTCTCTTTCTCTTGCTGTGCTTTGAGCGAAGCAGATGCCGTGCAATGGACCTGTGGATTCGCGTTTGATTATTAGACAAATTTTTGGTCATTAGTTATCCAGTCACTATTTCAAACTTTGTAAAAATTCTGAACACACATGAAGATTCATAAAACTAGGCCTTCCATAAGATTTTTTTAAATCAAATTTCAGCAGAATAATCCATGCAAGCACACACATACATACAAAATAATTATATTTTCGTGGGACAGGACATTTAGTGGGATATCTTCATTCCCCCGTTTTCTTCAAACTGTTATCATTATTATTGTTTTTTTTTATTTTTTTTTTTAATAATGATAATAATAATAATAATAATAATAATAATAATTATAATTATTATTATTATTATTATTATTATCATTATTATTATTGTGAGATTTGATCTTTCAAGGCAGAGTTTTCATCCTGACCGAATTATCCAGTGCAGGATAAGGGTCTTAGCTGAAGTCTTATCTTAACACTTGCATCTGAGTAAGATTAAACAATCTTGTTTAGAACTTTGCTTTGTATTGGTCAAACACTTTTTGTTTAACTGGTCAATAGTGAGTTTGTTTACTGTGATGTACATCTAACACCACAATGCAGCAGAAACTTTGCAAGTGTGGGCATACCTGGTACACTGCAATGCATCTCAATTTAGAGGCCTGTGTCCTTTTAAGAACACAGTCAAACAAAAATGTGTCATGATGCCACATCTGTTATCAAAAAAGTAGTTGGTGTAAACATATAATAATATGCAGGAGCTAATAGAATAATCATCATGGTTAAATTTTAGAGGCAAAAGCAATCTGTTTGCAGAAACGTGTTGGGCAGAGTTACAATATAAGAGTAAAGACTGGATGCATTCATTGTCTGATCACATTCTCAACATGAAAGTAATGCTGCACAAGCATGCTATGACACCAGTTGGATATGGCTGAGTCAAACTGCATCAGGCCAATATTCAATGAGGTAAACCCACATGAAATGAGACTTCTGTAATGGGAAGTTTGAGAATGAGCCTTGGTATATTTTCAATTTGGGGGCAAAAAAAGATCACCAACTCTTAGTTGCTGTATATTATTCAAATTCAAGCCAAAAAATATTGCCTTTGTGCAGGTCACTTTTGAAGGTGGACAGACTGATAACCTTTCATGACATTCTAGCTTTGTGCTGAAGACTTCAAAGGAGCCAAACCTCAAACAGGACTATGAAGTGCAAGTTGCCACAGGAAAAGACCACTGCATACCTTTGGTGGTAGCCGGTACAGCATCTGGCAGCTGAATGCAAAACAAAAATGAATAATGAGAGTTATTCTATTAGCTTATTTATATTTAGTGGGTGATATTATCTAATCTTCGTGTTTATTTCTTTCAGTATTTACTGAAATCTCTTTTACCGCGTGTTTTAGTGCGGTATGAAACCGCCTGAAAACGTATTCTTGGTGGTCTTATAAACTGTTGGACATTTCATAATCTGTGTCTTTATGCTTCATTTTTGGTACACTGAAAAAAATACAAAGTGAGACGTCTCTCCTCCTTTTCTCACTTTTGCCTCCCCCGCTCGTGGCCCGTTTAACCCGCTCGCCTCTCTAATGTCGCTCCCTTCCATTGGACGACTCCCTTCCGCTCCCTCTCTTTCCATTGGACGAGTTGGGCGGGCGATGAGCTCATATTGGTTAAATATAGTTGGGCTTGCGAGGGGCTAAAAATAGACCAGTATATAAAGCCGGCAGTTGCGCTGCATCTCAAACTACTCCTCTCCGGCCGGCAGCCGGGGACGTAGAGAGAGAGGTGTCGACTGAGCGAGAAGGGGAAAGACGACAGCCTCGCCTGCCGCAGCAGCCGCCTTCTTGCTCATTCCTCTAGAAATGTTGCACCAGATGCTGTGGTGTGTCTTACATTGTGCCCGGCCGCCAGTTTGGGTGGAGGAGGCAATGACGAACTTCCTTCCTTCCTCTTAAACCCTGGTTTCGTTATGAATGTCTCGCTTGAGAGGCCAGTCATTTCCCCCTGCTGAGCATTTAAGTTTCAATGTGCAAATAAAAATATGTTTCAAGAGCTCAATTATGAAAAAATATTGTAATAATATTTTTTAGGTGTGAAGTACTTGCCACTTCCGCTCCAGTCTCTAAAACCTAAAGATGTTTTAGTTGTAGTTTGGCTGTGTGTTTTCAGGTGGTGTTCGAGCCATAACTGCAAATTTAAAGTTGCATCTGCTGTGTGTGTTGTTAAAGGACGTGATGACAGTGAGCACTGGGGGGAAGAACAAAATTTAGGGCACTTAAGGCGGTATGAGGCCCATCCAGTGGTGAATAAAGAGGCCGAAAAGCAGCCACTACGAACCCGCAACCTCGTGTTGTAAGCGCCATTTAATAAGACTCCCGAAGAGGGCTACTCTTTAGCCCGCGGCTTTTGTGGAGCATTTTATGGGACATGTCACTTTACATGCAGCTGTTGTAACAATTTGCAGCCTGGATGCCAACAGACGGCTGGTATTGTTTTAGCTAATGGCCTGGTACTTTATGATAAGGACAAAAATGCTCTGATTTCATTCACAGGGAATCAGTCAGAGAATCACAAGCTGACTCCGCGTTTCCCCTCACATCCACCCCCAGAACCACTTATGAACTGTTATTGGAGGCAAATTCTTCATACCAGCCATCCTTCCATTTTCTACCCACCTATCCCATCGACTTAAACCTTCCCTTCTCCACCTTTTATTATACCACACATCTCACATATAAGCTGCCAAGCCAAGGGTCACTTTGGGCACAGCTCTGATGTACTAAGGTGGAGACTAGAGTTTAACCTGTGGTTTCAGTGGTAAGCATGGTAGAGAGGGGTGGCAGGAAAGCCTGAATTTAGCAAATGCAGGTGTGCAGTTTAAAAACACCTTTATGGCATCTGCTGGGATGAAAATATATGAACTCCCAGTTGGAAAAGATATTCCATCTCAATGAAACCTCTGGTTGATTTAATGATATAGAACCTTCCACTGATTTTTGCCATGTTTTAACAACTCTTTTCTCAGTTGTCAGTTTAAATTTCGTCCCAAATTCAACCATAGTTTTAATATAAAGACATGGAACATACCCTCATGGTCTCAGTCAGATGTTAAAATATGACAGTATGTGACTTTGTGTTATTTTGATTAGAAAGCATTGAGTCAGCGCTGTACATGCTGCTTTCTTCTGTATATTTGTGCATGAAAATTTCAAATGCAGGCTCTTTGTGAGCGGCATCCTGCTCATGCATTTATCAGTTTTATTCCTGGATATCCACTCCTCCGTGCTACCTTACACAACTATGGTCTTTTATCATTGGTAGTAAAGCAACCCCACACACTCACAGCTTCTCCATACTCCAACATCATCCCACACAGGCTCAATCTGCCTCACCTCATCCCACACACTCTGTTCTCTCTGCAGCAGAGGCCTTACAGTGAGGGTTCTGGCTCCTCTTTGTGTAGTGTGGTGTTGCTTTCCACTCTTCACCCTGCAATCTTCTCAAGGACTAGTATTATACCTTTATTTTAACAAACTTTGGGGGTACTACAGAATGGCAGTGGGAATTGCAGATACGATACAGATCAATGTAATTTGTGCTCTTCGCAGGTGCTCCAAAGTAGTGATGTGCTGAGTCAAATGAGAAAGAAAATGTGTCTTGAACGCTGTATTATATTCAAATTAAAAAATTGATAATTGGCAGCAGCCATACATTGACTGTATAACGCAAATCGGATCATGCATGATGTTACCAGATCTGCAAAATCCTATCCCCACTTCATTATCAACAATTAGAGATGACATATCTACATTTAAATTAAACAAATAAGATAAGGTGTTTTTAGCCTTTATTTTGATTTCATGATGAAAACTGAAAAGCTTGTTTGTGGCACAGTGAATCACCCCATGAGTCTATGAGAAGTTTGCAGATGACCAGTGGCTACTAGCCATATCAAATCAAGTAACAGGGCAGTAAAATTTCTTCAGTATGTATGAAAAATTTGTGCAGTCCAGTTGATTTTCAATAGCGGGTTATGTTGCCTCCTGATGTACTTCCTTGTTGGTTAAAGGGTTATTTTACATGTGCAGTTGATCACAGCACTGTTTTGATAACAGAATCTTGTGAGTTTTTAATGTTTCATGCATTTTACAAAAATGGAGTATGGGTTTGGATGACTTCTGTGTGGCATTCACTTTGCTGGTAATGTTTCACGACTGGCTGAGTCTCTGTTTAGGGTTCTCATCTCATCTACAAGTTACTGCTGTGGGTTTTTATGGTTAAATGATCTGTGGTTCTGCACAGAGAAGATGTACAAGACACTACAATGCACATAACTATTAAATAATTGATATTTAATGTTTTACAATGTTCGGCATAAGTAACAACTAACAAAGGGGATTTTAAGACTCGCTATGCATAATAGTAAAAGCTTTTTGAGAGAAAATTAATCAGGTCCGATTTCACTTTTTTTGGGTTATCTTTTAACAAACCTCTATGTTATATAATTCGTCAGTTAATGTGATACAGACTGAAAACATGAATCAGGAGACCATTTCATCGAACACCATCATTCACACTCCACAATGAAAGGCAGCTGAGTGTTATAGAAAGTAATTTATTACACAAACCAAAGCTAGTATACAAATACAGTTTCCAGTCCTGTGCGTGTGTTTAGTCTAGTATGAACAAACCCACATTTCATATTTACACACTTTGCATACAGCTTAGTTTTCCTGTTCCTTTGTTTATGTCACTGCTTCAACATCCACAAATTAGGATTTAAAAAAATACATTAAAAATAGAAATAAAATGATTTGTACAGGACAAGGAGACTAACATCGTTTTCCTTTTTTGTCTCTTCAGCCAAGTTTGTGTTCAAAACAAACAAACAGAAAAAGAGCCAGCACATGTGGTCCTAGTAATGTTCTAGACAGGCAGCCGAGGGGCCAGCCTTTCTCCTGACTGCCTAACAACAGCATTTGGCAGTGATGATTGATGGGTCCTTACACCCACAAGTAAATCATCAAGAAAAATCAGTTAAAGCACATGAGAATAAACTAAAAGCAACAACACGTAAGCAGTCCCCTATCATCCACCTCCTATTTTAAATACTGATAGACAACATATTTATGACTTCTTTTTTAAAAAGCAGAAAATAAAGTTTAAAAACATCACAAGACCGGGTTTCTGGAACAGGCTCCTCCCAGCAGGCCAGGAGGAAGAACAGGAGGGTAAAACATGGTCAAGAGACCCTGAACCCAGCAGTATGACACTGAAGAGTCAGGGAGGGCTGAATAATCCCAAATAAAGCCGGTCACGCTCACCATTTTTAGAGCAGAGAACTGTCTCAGCATTCAGCAGGTCTTTCATTCTCACTCTGTCTGTAAATGATGTTGACTACTGGCATGTGTCACCCAAAAACTTGTCAGTTGCCCAACCTAACAATTCTTGCATTTTCAATGCACAGTATTGTGTATCTGAGGTTATGTGTCATATTTGTCTTTGCCAGTTAACTATCCAAACAGATGTCAGATACCAATAGTACACCAGTAAAGGCAGACATATGTGGCGAAAAACAAGTTTATATCAGGCACACTTTTTTTTACCCCCCAAAAGTCACTACTTTTGGTTATTTGATCTTTTACACATGCCAATACAGCGGAAATTAGAGTTGTCAATCATGGATACAAAGATTCATAGTTGGTGGTGTGTAAACACAGTCTTCTCCTCTCCTTGTTCTTCATCCTGGTCTAAAGCCAGGGGGAAATGAGCACCAGCAGTCAGCTCTGTGGAACTGGAAAGGGATGGGAGCTGAGCCAGGGCAGAGTTTGCTCTTGTTGTACTTTGCAGGGCAGAAGGCTACTTTTATCTTTTAGAGGGACCACAATTCACCTGCCACTTCCACTTTTACACTTGAAAGAATATGTTCAGAGATGAAGACCTGCAGAGCAACAGCTGATGACACCCTCCAGCAAACAAATCCTTGATGCTGCTCATTTGGATCAAACTTTCAGTGTTGGGACTACAGGTGGTGGGAGTCACTTTGTAATTACTGGTCCAACAATGATGCACAAGTACAGGTCTAACTTTTAAACATGCATTGGGAGCTAATCTTTCATTTCAAACCTTACATTCAGGATCAGGTAAGTAACTGTGTTGTCACAGTGAGTCTGTAAGCACAGGATTAGCTACAGTAGAGGACTGAGCTGGGCACGTGAGCATGGAGCTCCACTCTTCTCTGATAATACCAAATGGCCTGCACACGTGATGGCACGTGACCATCAATCTAACACTGTGAATGCAACAACAATCACAGAATTAACTTGAAAAATCTCTCACTTATTTGGGAACTTCATGACAGAGAGTTGACCAAACTCCCACCTGCTTAAGCACTGCGTAAAGAAGCACTTGATTGGGATGGTTCATAGGTGAGATGTCTACTTCAGGGCCTGTTCAGATAACCTGCTCAAGTAACTACAGCATAAAACAAAGGAGCTAGATCTGCAAAACTATGTTAACTGTTTGATGAATACAGTCAGATCATGGCGACACAAACACCACTGCATGGCATCCCTCGGATCCCAACTGTCCCATTGTACAACATGTGGCCCTAAGTCCCGGCACGAGCACCTGGGGATAAACAGCAAACTGGTGGCTGTTTACAGGGGTTCTCCTCTACTGCGCTGTTTGTTTGCATCTCTCCATGTGTCAAATTATCTAGACAAACTACACCTTTTGTTGCTCACACTGACAATCAGTCACTGGAAAATCTCATAACTCACCCAAATCACTGTCTTATGTCAGCTAGATTGTTACAGGACCAGAATCTCGTAATGATCTCATCAATGTAAGTGGTTTGTTGAAAAGACTTGATGTCCCAGCATTTGGCTGGTGGCTGGTGAAACTTCTCCACCCTTAAGGAAAGCCACAGGTAAAAGAGTCCAATGGTTTATCGTGGAACTGTGATCCCTCCTAAACTTTTCCTCCTGCCTGTCCATCTTCATCAACACTTCCCAAATCCAAGCCCCAGGGTCCAACAAACAGTCATTTTACAGCAATAGTCATGTACTGCACTTTTTTTCCTCCCCCTCCCTCCCTATCCTGTCTAGTTTTCCCTGTCCCTCACAAGCCCCCCAGGTACAGTAGCCCAGGGTGAAAACAGTCCAAATGCAGTGGCCACTCTACAGCAGCACACATTTATTGCTCTTCTTGCCACGGCGGGCCTGCAGTGCTGCCCTGGTGGCCATCTCAAACACCTCCCGGACACCATCCTTGGTCTTGGCAGAGCACTCCATATAACCAAATGCTGCAATGCGGCCGGCCATTTCTCTGCCCTCCTCTGCCTTCACTGGCTCCTATTAAACAAAGGGATAACTTACATTAGAAACTCAATTCAGTGTACATGCAGATATTTAAAGTCTGTGAAAAATAAAGTTACTAATAAGCTAGCTAGCCTGCGAGAGATGGGATTCTTTACTTGAAAAAAAAAAACAACAGCTTCTTAGTCTTGAATGACCTATGGGTCATGATTCCTGTAATCGTAGAAACACACTGAAAGGTTCATTTTAAAAAAGTTACTCATGTTACCTGCTTCATCTTGGCAAGCTCCCTGCGTGTGTGCTCATCATTACGGAGGTCTTTCTTGTTTCCTACCAGGATGATGGGGACGTTAGGACAGAAGTGTTTGACCTCTGGGGTCCACTTCTCTGGAATGTTTTCTATGAATGAAAAAGAAGAAGAAGAAAAAAAAGTGGTAGGGGATAAGTCATCATTCAATGAAGTTTGTGCATATGCATGTGTGAGTACCAGGTTCACTAGAGGGGATTCATCTGGAGAATATAGTTTTCTTTTAGTAGTGGAATCAACCTTCTAGAAATGGTTGGTGGTGAACCACAGCTGTTAAAAGCAAAACATGAGAGAGATCTTAACACTGGCATTTGTTCTAAGACTGCAGGGTGATAAAATTATTTTTGTAAATCCATTTTAGAAAACAGTATTTTAGAAGTGTAGTAATAGTCTGGAAACATAAATATTTATCCAAACTTTATTTTTCACTTTCCATACTTTTTGAGACCTGGAAATTGATCACATTTATTTCCATACTTGCATAGGAACCCTGTAAATAAAAGAACAGCTATTCACAAAACTGACTCAATTCTTTGTTTACTCCTTGAAAAGTGGGTACCCTTCGTTAAGCTAAAGTTTAAAAAAAAAAAAAAAACTGTTCCAGTATTTGATGCCGCCAAAATGACCTTTTGACATTTGACAGTGGAATTAACTTTGTCAGCACTTACGTAAGAATAACACTACTTTTGTGATTTAATTCAAACCGTGAGGTACTGAAGAGATAATTCTGTTCCTGACTAAAAAGGAAGAAAAATTCGTAAAGGAGTGCTTATATCTCTGCTGGCCATCATATGATGAAGTCCTACTTGGTCAGCAAAAACAGAGCTGTACTGTCTGAGGAATACTAAACTACAGACCTCTTTTCATTGGATTTCTTTGATTTTCAGGGTCATTTCCATATGATCAGAAAACTGCTTTTCATAATCATTGTATGGTTTGATGTTTTACTGCATGGCTTTGTGCCATTGCATAATTAGTGATCTGTCTAAGTGTGTCTGTGTAAATGTATGCATTTCAAGTACAAAAGGATGAAGACCCCGGAAATAACTTTGATGCAATCTTCCCTTTTTGATTTTCTTGGTGGAGACAGTGATGTGGTGTTTTATGTCATGTGTAAATGTGTCTGTCCTCCTGTTTGTAGTTGTGGTTTTACTCACCCAAGCTGTCAGGGCTGTCTATGGAGAAGCACATGAGGATGACATCAGTGTCTGGATAGGAGAGAGGTCTAAGCCTGTCATAGTCTTCCTGACCAGCAGTATCCCACAGAGCCAACTCCACCTGACATAGACACGCATTGTGGTTAGAGAGGGCAGAGAGAAGGACGAAAGAGTGCAGAGAAAAGGGGAAGCAAAGACAGAGACCATGAAGGGAAAACAAACAAGAGGGGGAAGAGAGTGTCCACTTCATCTTCAAGAATTTCTTGTCTGATTAACATCAACCTCTAACTCAGTGGTTGTTATTCATAATAAATACCCCTGCACACAGCACCTAAACCCTGCAGAGGTAAATCTGACAGTGACCCATAAAAACCCCATTTAGTAGACAGCTAAGCTAAATAGGGAAAGAAAACCAGATCAAGCCATTTTGAAGTGTGACTCTTGACAAAGCGCAGCTGGAGTCGTCCTCGGCAGTGCAGAGGGCTGGAAATCAACCAGCCAATAAAGACTCCAGGTCCCTGAATCCCATTAACCCAGAATGAGGTCGTGAGGGTTTATGACTGATGAGCTGGGCTGGCTGCTTCAGCTATCCAGACTGGCACTAATAGAGTACATCACAAACAGAACTCATGAAGAGTCTGACACCATACAGCAGGCTTATATACTGCTAGAAAGTTAAACTTAGCTCTAGTCACAGTAAAAAGCACCATAGCCCTTTTTTTGGTCAATCAAACACCTCAAGATGAACTAGAAATGTGGGAGTTTGATGGTGTTTCATGTGAAGGTCTCTGACTAAGCTCCAAAACAGCATTCTGTAGGAAATAACAGGCTTAGCAGATGAGTGCGTCAATGCAGAGAAGAAGATGTGAAAATGAAGCAGTGCAGTTTTATCAACACTTGGCTCACTTGGCCCTGAGGGTAGAATTAAAGCGTTGAGCATGATTAAGCACCAGGGAATAAAATTAGCCCTGGTAACAGCACATAAACCACTGCTGGGACTTGAGGGGAGGGGATGTGTTGCAGCGTTTAGAAATCTTCAAGAGATTACTCAAAAGTGTCAAAATTCTCTGTGAAGTTTTGACACATCTACTCTATAGGAATTATGATTCTAGGGACACTTTGCTCAGCAGTGAACACGTGCTCAATCGGACAAATAGTCTTTCAACAAGGCAATACTACTAGGGCTGCAGCTATCGAATATTTTAGTCATTGAGTATTCTACCCAAAATTCCATTGATTTTTTAAGTAATCGGATAGAACAGAATTTTTATTAGTTAAAGTGCAATTATTGATATACAAGAGAAATTAAGAAATTTAACTTAATAATAAACAATCAATGGTTTTCCTTCTTTAGAAACAAGGAACACGGAACAAGCGTGTGCTTCAGCGTATTGCAATGCTCATAAAAATGCTAATTATGATATTAACTTTCATCGTGTCCTCAAAGACTTTATTGTCCGAGAGCTGAATAGCTCCTGTGTTACCTGTTACTTTTACTACACCGGCAGTGTTAGGCCGCAAGCTCACATGAAGACAAGTGTGCAGAGCAGTGCTGTCTCCGCCCACGACTCAGAGGTGAATTGCTAATGAGCTCCTGGAGCTCTGCAGAAGAAAAGCCCCTCTCATCATTCATTTTTTCTGCACCGCAAAACCAAAACCGCGCTTACTCCTCCTTCTACTGTGGTGACGTAAGCACGTTGTGTCACCTTGAGAATAATCCGTGTAAAACAGTGATGATCTGAGCTTATAAACGAGTACTCGAGGCAGAGAATATTCCTCAATCATTTTTTCTAAGTGAGGTACTCAAGGGATCGTTTCAGCCCTGAATACTAAAGCTTTAAAACAGATCTGGATTTGGATCCATCTACCACTGGGTACTGCTCAGACACAAAAAAGGTGGATCCTATAGCCACAGAACCACGGTAAATGTCTCACCTGTTTGCCATCCACCTCAATGTCAGCAACATAGTTCTCGAACACAGTTGGGACGTAGACCTCAGGAAACTGGTCCTTGCTAAAGACAATGAGGAGGCAAGTCTTTCCACAAGCTCCATCCCCCACTATCACAAGCTTTTTACGGATGGCCGCCATCCCTGGAGGGAGACAGAAAGAGTAATGATCAGGAGAGAAACCACAGGACTGTTAGATTATTTGACTATGAGAGCACCTATCATAGGTGCCAGTGGGAGAGCTTATTTGAGTGTTTTTTGTCCCCAGGTCTTCATCTCATCATGCAACGCAGAAAAGAAAGCATTACAACATTTGGGAGAAGGCATACATGCCCAAGTGTCTGTTAAGTGTTGCTGCAGGGTGCAGCTGCAACCTGCAACAACACTACACTTTACTTGACATCCTGACCACATGCCCCTCTATAGCACTGTTTAACAAGACCAAAGCTACCAGGAAGTCATGTGTAGTCAGGGTTCCAGTCATTTCTGTCACTGTGAAGACTGAGAGAAGTGTTGGTGTGGGTGTGAGAGGAAAACTTGCCCAACAGAGTATGGGGAAGTCGGGGAAAATCAGTGTGTTGTAGTCTTTGATCACTGAATGACAGAAGCTTGGATCACTACATGTTGGGAAATGGAGATGATACATGTATTCTTCAGACTGTAGGAATAAATACAGAAACTACATGTGTGTCGGGTTTATTGAAATTCAATCTGACCTGCTAGTTTTAGAATTATTGTGTTGTTAATGTTTTATAATGATTGAAAGTGAACAAAAAGAATAATACAATTCCAGCAACAGAGTGTGTCTAAAGCGTCAAACAGGAAAACAGCAATTTCCCATTCTGCATGAAAAGGAAGGGTGTCAGGATGGTTACAGATGCCAGGTATGGCTACAGTGCAGAATTACTTCCCTTGCAAAGTATAGAAGCTGCTGCAGACGCACAACTTTCACGCAGACACAGAAGTCGTATGTACTGTGTACTTCTCTACGTACAAGGCCAGCAGCAGATTACAAAAAGACGGTAATGAATTTACATCCATTGAGACTTCCTTCCCCCTTAATCTGAAACTGCATGATTCAGTCAGTGCGTTTACATGCACAGCTTAATCGGACTAAGCTCATTATTTTGTTATTTTTGCGGAGTCGGACTTCTCTCCTTGTCCGCATATACATGCAACTGAGAAAAAATTGAATTATAGACGTGAACGTGTCTTCCCCAAAACTAGGGGGTGATATGAGTCTTCTCAGCTGTTTCCGACCCCAAACAACTGTCAACAACAACAGCTGCTGGGCATTTTGGAGCAAGAAGATGAAGCATCATACAGCGCTGTTTTGTCTTACATGATGGACGTGCTACTTTTTCTGCAGATAAGGTGCACGCTACTCCTCTTCTCTGGTGTTTTTGTTCTGGGGTTACGGAGGTGTGGTGCACGCGCACATGCATTGTTCGATCATACTCCGACTACGCTGGTTACATGGTAGACAGTCTTCTTTTCAGGTAGAGAAAACCGAATTCCAAATCGGATTATCTGGGTGTCGTAATCGGACTTTAATCAGAGTCGTAATCCGACTCTAATCAGAGTTCTCAAACTCTGATTGGAGTCGAGCACGTGTTCACATGCACTTCAGTTGTCCGATCTTAATCTGAGTAAACGTCATGTAAACATACTGAGTGTAGTGTCAATCATCTTTTTCTACACAACCATTTTCATCATGGTGACCCAGCTGGAGGTGTGGTTAAGAAGAGACACTCTAAAACCTCCTCTATTAGCCGAGCTACAGCAGAGTTCCTTCCGTTGATCTCTGCGCCACAGCAGCCCCTACCAGACTTACCAATGTCACTCCTGCCCCTCTAACCAGAAATCTGGTTTAAAGGGGACATTATGGAATAATTCATCTGCAGGCATATTGCTTTGAAAATTGTGAGCTACCAAATTCTGTCTCTGTCTTGCTAAGGCCTAAAAAGAAGTATCTACAGCCCCAAACCGTCTTCTTGCCTCTCCTATGAGTTCTGTGCTATTTTGTCCATGTAGCACTTTGTGCACAACTTGCATCTTCAGCAAGTGTAAACTGTGCAGATTTCCCTTAGCTTTGGGCAGATATCTATTATTTTCCTTGGCCTTCTCTACACAGCACAGCGTATGTGTAATGTGTAAAGAACCTTCTCTGATCCAACCAGATATTCAGTGACATTATTACACACTAACTACTCTGACAATTCTTGTCAATTCAAAAGAAAAACACTCAAAAATCCACTGCCTTTTTGCCCTCGGCCTCGTTACTTTGACCCTGAAATGCACTGAAGCAGGGTGAGGTGCAGAAGCATCCAATAAAGTGCAGATGAATACTCTAAGTAGGACAGTAGTGTCAAAAAAGATTAGACCATTCCCTCCATGACTTGAGAAAAAAGAAAAGACAAAAAATGGGGTCAGCTGTAGCCTCGAGGTGGGTGGGTACTGGGTAAATGTATGAAACCTCTGGGTAATCCAAAGTCTATGTCTGCACCCCCCATTTTTTTCTTTCAACAAAGGTTGCCTTGGTGCTGATCAGCATGTTGTTCGAGTCACTGATGGTGAGTGTCTTGATGCTGCAAATAGTAATGAAACTTCTCAATACCACTGATAGTACCAGACTTCAAATCTCATCAGTGATATGTAAAACCTCTTTGCCATTTTAACAGATGTAGGAAACATAAGTGGGGCAAAAGCCAGACAAAACACAACTGGGGGGCACAATGTGTGCATTAAAAGGCAAAACAAGGGGAACGTCTCTATTAGCAGGCTAAACTCTGAACTGCTTGCACTTTCCTTTCATAGTGGAAACAGTGCATGCTGCTGTGATTGTTACAGCAGTGTAATAATGATTAGATGAGTGATCAATAACTCTGAACCAAGCTAACTGACCCTGGATAAACCCACACTGATTCGTTGCTCTTAAACAGCAACAAACTACAACCACATTTCAACACACAGCTGTGGGGCGTAAAAGAATTCACTGACACTATCCTATGGAAGAAGAACTTTAAAAACAAATTCACCACACTGAACTTTGAGCAGGCAAAGGTCAGTTCTATTTTATGATCAGGAAGAGTGTTTGAATCATAGACTGTGTACAACATAGATGTAGTCTCTCCTAGTGATGTCACCAATTAGTTTCTGTGGTAGACGTTTGAGGCCTAGCAGTCGCAGTATTGGGAAAGCTAACTCAACCTAACTTGCAGTTGATCTGGCGTGAGGCAAACGTGTGTTTCCTTTAGCCTTCAGGTTTGTGGTCACAGTATGCTTGCTTGCCAGTCAAGTCCCTCATCAAAGATAATAATATACAAATCCAAGTGTAATCCCAAATTACAGATCTATTCAGACAAAAATGTTTGTTAAGGTTGATGTCCTTCCCGAATAAATCAGGATCTTGGCGAGAAAAGCTACGTTCGAAAATCTCTGCCTACCAGCATCCAAGCCAACGAGGAAACGGTGTCACAAAAGAAAGACAAAGAAAGACACACGATGGATAAGGAGAGAGGTGGGATTAACCTAACAGGATCAAACTAACAGACTGTTTGATACTAAGAGCAACAGGAAAACACTCCTGCGAGAAAGGCCAACAGGAAGGTCTGATTCACACACACACACACACACACACACACACACACACACACACACACACACACACACACACACACACACACACGTTGTGCTTTTAGACAAGTGCTTTTAATTGACAGCTTCTCTGTAATATTCAGCTTCTTTAATGAACAGGTATCATCATATTATCCGAATTCCAAGTAAATAAACTTCTTACCTTGTTTTATCACAACTACTTTCAACAAAATGTACATTTTTTGCTTATTTTCTCATCCAATAAACTTATATCAAGTCACTGAAACCAGCTTGTGTCAAGAGAATTCATTTTTTGACTTCAGACTTCTGTCAATGTATTATAAAAATGGTAACTGTGTTCCTGATGATTCATCAGCCTGGCTTTTAGAAAACCCCACACAGGCAACAGTTGCGTTTTGCAGCCTGTGTGTGTTCATGCTAGGCAACACCCCACGCAGCCTTCATAGCGTGGAAATTAGCCCCGGCTTATGGACAGTTGACTGACTGCTGGCTGATGAACATTTCAATTTCCGACAGAAACTTGGCAGATGTTCATCTTTTGCCACCCCACATGCATTTTTGGGGGTGATTAGATTTTGACAGGATCATCAAGTGATTATTTTTACCATCATAGGAAGTGTGAAAAAGTTCATGGTAGAAAATGAAAATGCAGCCATTTTGGATGCACAATGGTGCCTGTTGCCTCATTAAGGAAACCAGTCCAACTAAATGTTAAGATGGCGACTATAAAAATGTGCATGTGGAGGAACAAGTCAGAGATCTTACATTCAAGGGCAACCAAATTGATGATAGTGGTAATCAAAGTGCTGACACCTCTGACCTTCAGACAAATTGTCACAGGGATCAATTCAAAACATTAGTGCACTGCTCCATGGTGACTCTGAGGCTTCAATAGATAGATTTAGATTTGAAGCAACAACAATTTAGGGCAGACATTCCTTTTATAACTATCAGTCCTTGTATTGAAATGAAATATGTTGATTCCTGGAGTGTTAAGAACTAGGATGAGTAGGTGCTGCACAGGAAATTTCAGATCAGTTGACAATTAAATTGGAAGACACAATGACTGGGACAAATATAATTAGACTTTAACAGTGTTTAAAGTTGTTCACTTTCAACATGTACCGACCCGTGCATGACAATGCCAGTCAACAAATTTTAAAATACAAGACAAGAGTTTTATACCAATTGGATCCTTTTCTGTAATTAATGTCTCTACCATTTTAGTAAATCACAAAATTTACATTTTAGGAAAAAAGAGGGCCTTTTTTGATTAGATTTACCCACTGGATATTTTGTGTACTTTATTACCAGTCAAATCACTGTCAACTCCATCTATTCCAGCAGTGGAGAAGATAATTTTCAGTTAATGGCTTCAAGGGTGACAGACAATGTGTGCAACTTGCAACCGTGCCTGCCTCCACCCTTAGGTGCAGGAGGGATAGCTTAGGTGTCTTGTCATGCACTACTCCAGAGGTAGTACAATACAATTAATAATCAGCCACTTAGCACAAATACAAATCTGAGATTTTTCCAATTCAGTTCAGAAAAACTCTTTATCTAACAAGTTGGAGAGAGCAAGGTAGCTTCACAATTTCTTGTCTTGGTGGAAGAGAATCAATATCTAGTGGCTTAACAATCATGTACAGGGCTACTGACTATTTATTTAAGTTTGATTGTCTACTCACACATACTTTCATGAAGAACAGTATCAATTATAAGGCTGCATGATATTAGGAACAACTGATATTGAATTCTCTTTACTTTTTGGGGATATAAGCTGCACCATGAAAAAAAAACTAAATTTAAACTAGTTCAGAAGTCTTTGTTTTATGCACTTGTTTGGCACAAGGTTATGTGAAGGTAAATGATAGATAGGGGTGGGAGGGAAAAAATCGATTCACACAAGTATCACGAGTTTTTTGTTTTACAATTTTTTAAATCGATTTGGATGTTCAAAAATCCCCCAAATTTAAGAATACATCTTTAAAACTGAATTACATGTGAAGTGTACTTTTTGGGGAAATATGGATCCTGGAATAGTCAGTAGACAATCATAACCATTCAACTGTTTCACTGGTGTCAAAAATGCAAACTAAAAATCGACAATATCCTAGAATCGCAATTTAAATTGGACTGGCAGTCAAAAAATCGTAGAAGAATCGAATCTGCCGAAAAGCTTATCATCCCGGCCTTACTGGTGGAGAGCTTGAGTTTTATCTAATTTCACAAAAATAATGTACAAGCACAGCCATTACACCCATTCTGCATGATAAAGCCTCAATTGTTACTTAAGACTTCCTTTTTAACCTATGAAAATACATATTTACCTTTAAGGTGTGTATTTTGTGTATTGCAAATTTTCTTATTGCAATTAAACTGCAGAATATTGTCCAGCTCCACCACATTATTAATTAATGTTCCCATGTAATACACAATGTCAGGTAATAAACACTTTGACGCTATACCACAAACCCATTGGTACTTGGGTTCCAACATCTTATCCACATATACTGCTGGTTATAAGTCTGGTGGGTGATAAGTCTGGTCCATGGGCCAGTATGGCAAAAGCGTAGTGAAAGTTGTAGCATGGTTTGTATGGACTCCCAGTGTAAAGTCAAACACGGTTTTAAACCAGCTCGCTACTGGGTGGGTCACCAGAAAGATGGCGTCATCACAGAGGCAACAGATGGCCAGTGTGTCCGCAGTGGAAGAATGGGTGGGTGGCCCCAATGCAAACTGAACACTAAGCCACACGCACACACAGACACACACACCTATGACTCGTCAGAGTACGGAAGATCATATAAGAAAAGGTAAAAACTTTAAATACGACAAATAAAGATGGTGTGCTTTGAACACAGCCATGTTTTAACACATCGAACAAAGTAGAGTTCTTGTATTTGACGAAAGTACATAGGTGATTTATTTAATCAATATAACGCTTAACCTGTCACAGTCAAATCCTCTTCTCACAGCAGCTCACCGAGCCAAAGGATAGCCGCATGCTCGGAGAAGACAACTGAAGAGTCTCATTGTTTGACTACGGCTAAAACACACACGTTCATTCCAGTCAGTTTTAACAGTTTACTTTCTCCAAGTCCAACTAGTTCATCAACTATACATCTGATCTGTCAACCTGTTCTGGCCACGGTGTTTACATCAAGATATACGCTGAAATTTCTTCGCCTGCTCAACTGACCGGCAACTGCGGAAGCAGCGCAGAAACTGAGGTCGGTTAGGAATAAAGCTAACTTAGCATACCGTTACCCCGCTAGCTTCTAGCTTTGATACCAGGGCCTCTCCAAGCTGTGTGTAACTTTTAAAATCACACCGCCCGCATATAAACACGAAAATATGAAAAAGAAGTACGTAACGATCATCCGGTATATCAGAAAGTAGTTTACCTGCAGTTTAACGTGGTAAGCAGCTGTATTTTTCAATGTATCCCGGAGTAAAGTCGCTTTTGCCGACCAGGCGGTTCACTCGCCGTTGCCTTCCGTCTAGAACTGATACAATGAATTACTTTACGGGAGCGCGCCGCTAGGGTTTGTAGTTTTTTCACTGGGGGTGGGGGGGTAACTGGCACGAGCCCGAGAGCCACACCTGCGCGGGCACGAGGTGAAGGAGACTTCTTTAGAGGTTTGACGAAAACCTGCCTGGAACCAAGTTCATTCGTGCTAAATTATTACGTCTTTTTTTCGGGCACGACATTCTGCCCTTTATGGCAGAGCAAACGTGTCAATCAGTTTCACAGTTGTAGATTTGTATGGATGCGTTTACTAGTTGTAATGTCAGTTTTTGACTAAACTAATTATACAAAATAATAATAATAATAATAATAAAATCAAAATAAATAATAGAACTAGATATTGGAGAGTTTTTTAATCCAAGTTATTTTTTAATGTTTTGATTTTGCTTAAAAAAACTACGGACTGGAAGACAACAAAAGAAGCAATGTGCCTTTTTCCTTTGTTGATCTAAAATTATTGTATTATTCCCTTGAACGGAGCAGTCTACATTAGCCCGTCATAGTTGAGTCGACGCACAGAAGTAGTTACTCTTTTTTTAACACGCAATATTGAAATGGCCGAATAGTGGTCCTGTCTTACTGCACCACCTGGCGGCCGATTTAAGTTACTAAACCAATTCAGAGAATGACTGTGACAGTAGCCACATGTTAAAGTTAAGTCTTTGAAGGTGAACCCCTGAAATACAAGCATCTTTGTGTCCGTAATAAAAGTAATATTTTAATCTCCATTTTGGATTTATGAGAAAAGAAGGTGTCTAAGAGGCACAGAAACTCAGGGACAGTCAGTCATCTCTCAATCAGAAGACTGAAGGTTCAGTCAGAGGGTCCACTGTCCACATGTCTGAAATTCTTTCTTTCTTTCTTTCTTTCTTTCTTTCTTTCTTTCTTTCAATCTTTTTTAAACAAATAATAATCTAATGTAATTTAATTTTTTTATGGTATTAGATGTATTTTTATTTTATGTTCATATCACCTGTGCATTACCAGTTTGACAAGTTTTGTTTTCAGGCTTTATTTAAATGAGACTTCTTTTTTAAAGTAGCTTCAGTGAACAAACAAGGGAAGTCCTGAGGTAGTGTATCTTTGAAGCTCAACTTCTGTCGGCGTGAAGTTCATGGTATCTAGCAAAAGTATGTCAAAGTAGCATTAAGAATCAGTTAGACTGGTTTTGTTATTGTCATATTATATTTAATATCAACAGGGAGAATAATTTACAGTTTTGCTTTAAGCTTATATTGTTTAATATAATAATATTATTATATAATATATAATATATAATTTAATATATAATATTTAAGACAACGCTCAAAACTTTCAACAACAAGTGTGGTGGAGAGGACCATTTGCCAAACCATTAAGAAAAAAAAAAAATGTTTTTCAGGAACCTCTAGGTCACAGATTATTTTAATTAAGTAATTAAACAGGGTAATTTCATTTGTAAGTTTACAAATGCATATGAAGTACAATGAACATTTTGTATCTTCAATTTACGATGGACTATTAAAGACTAAAAATTACTCAAGTGTACAAATTAAACAGAAATGGAGAGGGACTCAGGCCTAGAGATATTTGAGGATGACTGGAGTGATATTTAGGGTATCACAGGCCGTGAATTCCCTCCATGAATTGTATATGTTCTCACTCCACAATTGTGATTCAGCCAGGAGGGCTTAGAGGGACAGGATAATTATAGTGGTAATGCGACAATAGCCAACAGCATGTTTTTAACATTTTTCAGGAGCTGTCCTTTAATCCACCCTTATTGGCAGCTGGTTGCAAAAGAAGTGAGACACTGCTTTCTTTTTTCGTCTCAATATACTTGGATAGATACCCCGATGCATTCTAGGCCAAAAATACCTTTGCAGTTTTGAATGTGAAAAGTGGCTGCAGGCAGAAACAATCAAAGGAGGATTAGATTGCTATTAAACAATGAAATGTGTTCTGGAAATATATTTGAGTAAACCTGAGACTGCAGTTTAGAAACTATTCAGTATACTAGAAAAATTAGCTCTTTATGTTGTAATGCTCCAGATCTGTTATCAAAATCAACTTTTCTTTTTACCATGAGGCTCACACCAACCTCCACCTGTTTGTCTCTGTTGTTTTGTATGATCATAAATATCTGATAAAAATTTAGGTGTGAAAAATATTTGGTGTCACCATGAGCAGAACACAAGTCTGTAGAGGGAGGGAGTGATGCTGGTATATTTCATTGTGGAGTTTGTCAAAGACACCATCAATACAGATTTCAAGACATATTTCCTTGAGATATATATATATATATATGTGTGTGTGTGTGTGTGTGTGTGTGTGTGTGTGTGTGTGTGTGTGTATCAGGAAGTTTAAAGGTGCATGGTTGAAAGGGGCATAAGTTGCTTGCCATGTACATCCTGTGAAAATAAGAGTAAATTTGGGTTTAAGTTGATCAAATATGTGCTACCAACTTAGAAAAGTGTTGTTGTTCTTAAACAAAATATCAGTATGTTAATTTTAACAGTATTCGTGAAGCTTAAAGACACTAATTGCCACTCAGAGGTAATTAAGTGAGACGAATGATTGCTGTGGGTTTTAGCCAGCCAAACCACAAGGTTACCTATTGCTCTCTAGGCCATACTTACAGTGAATTCACAAATACACCCATGTGGATATCTGCAGCACAGAAAATACGTAAACACCAAAGACATAAAAAGGAACACTCTCAATTGAATTTCATACAATCTTTATTTTGAGTAGAGATAAAGAAATATATTTGAAATCTAAAGAAAAGTCTGTGCAACAGCCACAGTACACAGAGCAAGAGACTTGTTAAGAACATGGTCTGTTGGTGCAACAGTGGGAACAAATACGGAAAATGAAAAAAAGTGACAACTAAAAAAAATAACATAACCTGAAAACTTTCACATGGCCACCTTTGCCAACAGGATAATGAATCAGAGCAGTTGCATCAGTAATGTGAAATTTAAAAAATTCATCGCAGTCTGCGAGCATAAGCTTTAATCCACCAGTCTTTGAGGCTGGTGTAACCTCCCTGTTCAGTCACTGTTGCACCATCCCAGTTTAATTGAAGATCATTTATTGCCGGGCCAAGTAGAAGAAACACCTTTAAATCCAGTTTGTAGTCCCATCGTCATGAAATTCTAGGGTTTGGTCACTGACTACAAGGACTTGGCTGCTGACAAACCCAGAGGCATCACTGACATCGTTCATAATCATCCAACTGAAGCTTGTCTTGTTGAATTCCAACTGTAAATTGGCATCATTAATACAGACAGAGCGAGATAAATTCTGCATCCTCTTTTAGGATGTTTACAACCAGGTTAAAAAGAAGGGGAGCTAAAAGGAGTGTACTGGGATGGAGAGCTGGGATCTGGCTGAAAATCAGAGCAACCAGTCTTGATCTGCAACGCAACAGTATTCCTACACCTTTCCACCGATCAAACCACAACTGCAAAAAAATTACACAATTTCTGTTACCCCCAGGCATTCATTTTAGAGTGTATTTTTGCACTGATTATTTTTTATTGTATTATGCAGCCAGATTTCTGCTGGAAGCCAAACCAGAATAAAGCTATCATGCTATTCCCAGAGAAGCTAGCAAGTAAACAGATAATGAATGAGGAGGGGGTGTATTTGTGTGAATTTCCCTTCATTGCTGATCTAAATACTTCAATGGAAGAATGCAGCCTGAGCTTTCAGACATTTGAGCACAGCTTTAGTTTGACAGACATGATCTCCTTTCCTTTAGTTTATTTATTCATGTTATTATGATCACTGCCATACCCAGTTACAGAAAAGCTCCACTCATTCACCACTACATACAATCTCTAGATTTAGAAGTCAATGAAATGAGAGAGAAACATGAGAAACACAAGAAAGGACACACAGAAAATCATCAACCCTGTTATGGCTTATCACATCATGTGCACAACACGCTTCCATCCAACTATCTTTTTCTCAAATCACCGTGTAGGTAGATGCACATCCCTTTACAGTTTTGGCTTATTCCACAGTTTAAACCATTCAGTCATACAGCAATGTGAAGGATTCGATCAATAAGAAAGAAGGAAAAGTTTTTCTTCAAATATGTTGTGTAAAATGCGTCAGCAAAGCACAAGGTCAGACTTAATTTGAGTCTGTGGTTTGAAAGTTTCCACAGAGAAGGCCAAGCTGACCAGGAATTAGACTCGCATAACTCTGGATTTCTAACATTCTTTCCATGAGAGAACTTCATTTTCTGATTACAAAACATTTAAATAAAACCTTGTACACCATGTCAGGGTTCTTTTGGCGCTTAAATCACAATCTCATTCAACCTCACAAACTGGTTAAAACACCCATACTGCTTCCTCTGGACAGACACAAGAGAAGGAGGCTTTTCCTGGCAGTTCATAGAGATTATCAAATTGCAAATTAGATATTGAGTCTGTTGTTACTTTTGATTCAGCTGTTTCGGTTAGCTTTATAAGGCTTACTCAATCAGGGACGTGTTTAATCATCAGCAGGGTCAAAACAAGATTATTTCTGCAGAAGAAGTGGAAATGATAAATGTGAAACAAAGACCCTCTTCATTTTGAATTCAATATGTAAAAGCACATTCTGTAGGAAATCAAAACACTGTGTAGCCACAAATTCTTCATTTGCAATGCTTTAAGAGGAGCCCGCTGAGTTAATGAGCAAAACAAATCAGATGAAATTGATTAATGATGGAAAAACAATGAAAGATCTACATGTGTACTTTCCCCTCTTTTATCATTTACTCTGTCAATGAGTTGGACTTTGTTGTCTTACCCACAAACATTAGTTTAGGGGTTAGAACAATTTAGCAGAAACGCTGTGATCCATCACTGCAAATTATTTGTTTGCTTCAACTGACTTTAATAGACAAAGACAGATGGGAAATAGAGATGTCACTGAGCTGATCATTAGCATAATAGCATAAGACATCTGCAGCTATGACTGCAGACCAAATGAATGGATCGCTGACCTTTTGGTCCAAATAGAATTGACGAGGCATTTTGGACAAAGTAATTTAGCAGCCCATCATCCTCACTGAGGAATTATTCATCACAGGCTCCTGCTTGGTCAGTGATTTCAGGATAAAAGAAGTTACAAGTGCAAAGGATTTCAATGGAAATCTGTCCAGGCTGAGGATAAATCAGGTGTCCTCTATGAAATCATCTATCATTGTAAGGCTAAGATGCCAAAAATTAACTTGCTGCAAATATACCAACTCTGAATCTGCAAGTTATGTATTTTGGATTCTAGACAGTCCGTCCTTACCCAACACAAATACTCTCAACATTTGTGATGTGGCAGTAATCACGACTACAACTGTAGCAGTCAGCAAACACTTTCAGCATCAAATGGACCAAGATATTTAAAAAACTGTTGCTGACATTGTAGTGGAACGATTTGTGAGTGAAAAGGGGACAGAATGATGCTTTAGAATAGATAATGTTCAAAATATGATCAACTCCTATATCAAAAAAACAGGAACAAATCATAATCACCATCCGAAGCTCTGTGTGAGTATAACCCCAGTAACAGGTCTCGTTAGGTCTCAAAAACTGTCCTTTTCTTTTTTGATTGTACGGATGTTTCTAACCTGCCCGAAAAAAAAGTTATAAAAAAAATAAAAATAAAAAACAAGAGTTTTCCATTTAACCTTCACCAAGGTATTAAAAACTGATATATTATCTTACGCTCTACCTGTTGTTCCAAAGACACAAAGTTTGCTCACCCAGCACCTCTTCAAATCTTGAAGTTGTGTGTCAAAGTTCATCAGCCTGACAGGCCTGCAGCAGCTTCTCTCTTCTGGTCCAGCAGTCAGTGTTGAACACCTGCTTTTTGAACTTCCTACTCTCTACTCTTAGTTACTGATGTAAAACCAGTGCACAAAAGCTGGTGTCATCTCTGAGCACTACTCAAAACAGTGCATGAAGAGTCGGCTCTCCATCCAATATCAAAATCAGTTGAGTCTCTGTCATAGACAGCTTTCTCAGAGAACACTTAAGGCTGCTTCATAAAGACTTAAAAAAAGACTATTGTACACCCATTTTGTTATTTATTTAGAAAGCAAGGGGAAAAGACACGCAAAACAGTGGACAGGGCCCTGCATTAGGGATTAAATCCAGACTAGACAGAATTTTTGAAGAGCTGTGGTCTGCTACAGAAAGGAAGAGGAGAATTTTATGTCCAGTTTGCCCGGGTACACAGAGCATTTACAGCCACCAGGTCTGAACTGAAAGAACTGTACAGTAAGCCTCCCACTGGACTTTCAACAGCCTTGACAGTGAGTCTGTGACAACCATCTTGTGTACAAACTGCTGAAGGATATTTTGTGTGTTTGTGTTTTTGAGTTAGAGTGTGCCTATTCGCTGTCACTGGACATAACTGTATACTAGACAGACGACTGAATATGCCAGTATACCCGTCTATGCAACAGAACAGAGTGTGTGTTTATTTACATGTGGGTTCTGTTTGTTAGGATGTGGAAGGTGCATCCTCAAAGCTGATGATGCTGGACTCTGGGTGTGGCGGTCCACCTGTGGAGGCTGCTCCAACACTCTGCGACATTAAGGATGAGGAAGTGGAGGCACCAATGGGTCCACCTGCTTGTCTTGGTGTTGAGGTGGAGGGGTCACGCCCACCAGGGAGGAGTGGCTGTGTGTCAGTTCTGACCTCGTCCTCATCATCGTCTTCTTCGTCGTCCATGCTGGGCCAAGCGGACTGGTCTTCCACACGTTTCAGACGCTCATTTAGAGCCTTGAGGGCAAGTTGTCTATGGGGATAGAGAAAGAAGGACACTTGACATTCATTACAGCTGCACAACAAGGGGCTCCTGTTTATTATTGTTTTAGGGCTTCATGGAAGAGTGATCAAATAGTTCAATAACAGCGTGCTTCAATAAATGTATGAAACAAGTTCCTGGAGGTCAACACCAGAACTACAGTGGTGAGTGATTGCTCAGTGTTTTGCAAAAGCATCATGCCCAGTTGAAAGTTCTGACTTTGACGGCTTATTCTTTGTTGACAGGATTTTCCTGCTCAGGTGATCAAACATATTCAAACATGCTTACCGATACTCTATTTCTACAACTCTTATCTGCCAAATGTTTCTAACAACTACATACTGTACTCAGTGTCTATGTTTTCTTAAAGACCCACTCCGATGAAAATCAAGTTTTTCTTGTTGTCTACATGTTCATATGTTCATTTTTCTGATGCTACAGGACATATCATAAGAAAAACAAGTGCAAAATTGCATTTCTGAGTAGCTCTGATTTCAAATCGCTGTGAACTTCTCACAGACTTTATACTTTTTAATCACAATTTAAAGACCACTGAGAACCCTTTCAGTAGTAAAACAAAACAAAAGAAAATGATCAGAGTGGGACTTTCAGTATTTTCATTGACAGACTGATGTAAAAGCAGAGGCATCACAGCCGCAGCCTGCTGGTACTACAAAAGTTTATTTCAACTTCAACTTCAACTATGACGGTGTGATAGTCTCCTAACACAATGATTAGGGGAGAGTGGGGTAAGATGAGCCAAAGGGTAAGTTGAGCCACCCCCTGCTGCTTGAAAATGGTCAAAGAAATTGATCATGTGACCAAATATTTGGGAGATGGGCATCAATTCATGAAGTCTGTGAAGGTTAGTAGCACATGGGTGAAGGTGTTAGACATTTATTTACAAATAACATTTTTCACTCTTGAAAGTGAATTTAGTCTGTCATAAATTTTATTAGAATTGCGTTTAGATCAAATAAGATCATTTTATTTTTTTTCATACATCCATTGTGGTATCTATGAGCTACAACATGAGGTCAAAAACCTAGTATAGAAGTCCACCATTTTAGCTTAGAGGACTAATAAAGTCATTATAGTAGTTCTGGGGTAAGTTGAGCCAGTGGTCCAACTGAGAAAGTAAAGGAGTCTGATGAGAGGATCAGAGTTTCACTTCAGATTGTTGAAATGTGTTACTTTTTCTTTTCAAAAATACAGCTGTGAATGTTCTGAATCATCTAAAGGCATTCTCATGTTAAAATGGCTTTTTTACAAAACAGCTTTTTAGCAGTTATATGCAATAATAATAAAAAGAATTATTGTACCAGTTGAATAGCGTATAATAGATAAAAACACAAATGAATGTGAAGAAGTGACTGTTATTTAGGGAAAGAGAAGGTGAGGAAGGGGTGGGGGGATTGTGAGGATACAGCCCAACTTACCCCGCTCCTATGGTCAACTTACCCCATACACGGGGTAAGCTGACCATAGGAGACCACTTTTTTTTGGCATGCTAAATTATCAAAATTACAGTTCTGTTTACACTCATTCTGTTGGTTTGCAGGGATGCACAAAATCTTGAAATATATATCGATACACTAGTTAGAGACAAAACTATGATCGCCTTGATGTAGTGATCTGAAATATGAAAAATGGCTCATCTTACCCCACTCTACCCTATTAGCTGGCCTTTTTACTGCAGAAGTGAGTATTTTCGATGGACTTTGCGTAAAATTGAGATAAAGGTATCACAAACTACTAAAGGATTCAGAGCCCAGATCTGTAAATCAATGAAAGGGACATTTGTTTGTCATGTTTTTGTTATCAGACCCTGTGGGGGAAAAACTCCTGCAGGGATTAGGCATTGAGATCATGGGATGTATCATTTCACAGTCAGAAAGCCATTTCTATTTCTCAATGCTGCATTAAATCAAAGTCTTCGACATGATGGGATTAATGTTTTCACTGCTTGGTGTTGATTATATGAAATGTATGGAAAATTGCACTAAGATCCAATTTGGGAAGACTTGCTCTCTTTGGGGCATAAATTAGGTTAGCCTATTCAATTGTAGGGATCATAAAGGACTATAGTTTGAGTAACAAGCTGGTGGTCACAGTGTCTCAGATTTCCTTCAAAGAAAAAATCAGCAACAATACAAAATCTGGCTACCTGCCACATTGGTGTCCTACATAATGTGACCGGGCTGATAAATGTGGTAACTCACAACGAAAGAAAACAGATTCTACTAAAAACAGAGACAACTAGGAAAAGCTTTCTTTCACTTTTTTTATATAGTCCTTTGATAATATCAGCCACAACAAAAATACATCAGAAATGTTATTTTTGTCATAAAATTCAAGAATTCAAACTTGACTTTGAGTCACTTTGTTGAATGTACAAACTTCTTTCTTTTTTTATATTCTAGCCTGACCTCTCCATGAGTACACAATAAACAGAGACCCTTACTCCATTAACATAGCAGTGTACATGTGTATATATGTGATGGTGACAGAGAGAAACACTTCCCTAAAGAAGTTTAAGACACAATAAGTGCAACCAGGAACTGGATAAAAATCTCCTTTAAACCATTGGTTTCACTACATTGTTTCACTGAGCAGCACCACGAAGTTGTGTGAAACGTTAATATGAACTGCCTACTATGCAATGTGCCCAAATCATTTTGGAAAACTCTTATAAACAAAAATATTTTACACTAACAACTAAGTCCCCATGTCACGGAAACAAACCAAGGCTGCAGCTCAAGAATAAACAACTGAACTATTTGGCAAAAAATAGAATTATCCACTTATACTGAGGGGATCAAAGTCTATATGTGTGCGTGTATAGACTAGGAATGGGCACGATTAATCGATGATCGATTGATCATTAAGAATTACATTGATCACCCAAAATTTCAATCGATATAACATTATTAAAAAGGGCTGAGAGCGTGCATCCATCTTCTAGCTGCTTTCCAGCAAAGATCAACCTCTGCTGATCAGGAGGGATACCTTTTTTGTCCAGTCTGTGCGTGTGTGTGTGTGTGTGTGTGTGTGTGGGTTGAAGCAATGCAGTGACTATCACCGTTCTAAAGGATTTTGACATTTTACAAGCGGAGTGATAGAGCGTCAGCGGGCTTCTGTACAAGTCAAAACGAACAAACAAACATGAAGAAAGCAAGACTAAGTGTGGTGTGGGATCACTTCAAAGGGAAAAATGATGAAGTTTGCAGCAAACACTGCGATCCTGTGCACAAGTAAAACACGACAACGACCCCGATGATGTTCCACCTAAGGGTCAAACATCTAACTGAGGTTAATGAATCCTCCGAGTGCTCTCAGTCTCAACCTACCATCAGCTCCTTGCTAGCACACACAAACTGTGTAGGGTGACCAGATAATCCCCAATTTCAGGGGAAAGTCCCCATTTTGAATAGCCAGTCCCTGGTTAAAGTTGTACCTGGAAATGTCCCAGATTTTAGCGTTTTATAAGGAAAAAAACAACAGTTATTATGGTAGCCGGGCAAGTAGGAAGCACAAGTGAGCATGAAGCGCGCAGTGCTCACGGAGGGGGGTATTTCAATGAGGAAAAACACGTTTTCTGCCATTGGTACAAAAAAATCGATGTAAATCAATGATTAATTAATCGAGGGACTTTCTTACAATGCCCATCCCTTGTATATGCCAAGATGCATGCTGGCATATTCATCTTGGTGTAACTTAATCTATGTGACAGCTTGGCAGTGTGTCTGCCTCTGTGTCAATCAAGAGGTAGGAAAAACTGACTCTTAAACACACTCACCAATACTTCTAAAGCTGTCAGAAGCTGTGTGTTGTAGAGCGACCACATGAACACGTTTCAACTGTTTGCTGCGACAGAAAAAAAGACTAAGGCTCAACAAACTCTCCCTGAGTAAATAAAACTAAAAAACAATACTTATGCAGCAACGTGTCTCTCTGTCAGTTGTAAATTTAACTGTCTGGGTGTGTGTGTATTTTAAGTCATGTTTTTGTGCTCTTTATCTTCCTGTTTTCTCTAACTCACCTTCTCCTCTCTGCATCTTGTGGGTCCGTCCCTGGCAGGCTAATAGTAATGGAGGAGGGCGCCCCCACGTCATACCTCTTCACCATCTTCCTGCAAACCTTTATTTTCACCAGGGCCGAGTGAACCAACCCAGCCAGCAGCCCCACGGCTGGCTGCAGCGCCTCAGGGAAGAAACTAGCAAAGGCAAAGTGGTCTGACATATCACCGCGGCCCCGGCTGTGCCTTTGGTAAAAACGCAGGTGGACCCATCCGGACAGAGCGCCATAGCTGTATGAAGCCAAAGGGGCGGAGCTGTCGAGAAGTCCAGACAGGCGCAGAATGGCCAGCAGGAGGAGGACCAAAGCTGGTGCTGCTTTGAGTCTTACCTAGGGTAGAAAAGAGACAAATATTTCAGTCTTTGGTAGATGAAATCTTCAGGCAAAAGGGAGAGCTGCCACAACCCCCTCTATCTGGCTAGATTCAGAAATTGGAACACTAAACAACAGCTGTTAACATGCCAGGTCGGCAACCAGAAATCACAGGAAAAATGCCCCAGTGAAGGGTGGAAGATTAGACTGAAGAAACTCAGTCATTTAACAAACTTATAAGCTGCACAAAAGGCTGAAATAAGAACGCTGAGGCATAGAGGCCTTTCTGCACGAGTGATGCACTGGAAATGTGTGCTCAAGCAAAATCTAAACCCTTTTTAAACAGTGAGAGTATGCCTCTAGATAGAAGAGCATTTTTATCGTGACGTGAATGAACAGATCACACTGTAGTCCAAACTAAGAAGAGAATGACACACCTGAACCAGAGAACACGTGTTCAGCAGACAAAACACTGGACAGCTCAAACTTAAACTGTTGGCTAAACACACATGGCTTTCAGACAAACAATAGGGCCTTATATCTGGCTTTTCATTGATTAAAATGACTTGACCCTCTGTATTTATGAAACACACACAAAAAAACAATGTTTACCTTTTCAATCAAAAACATCCTGCCCCCTTAAAATTCATTATAAAACGATGTTGGAAGTCCCCTCACTGCAAAATCCCCATGCATGCAAAAAGGACATTTTTCTCAGCCTAAGTCCTGCAGTCGATTTACACAGGTGTTGTTACATTTGTTAGGTGTTGTTTCTACTGAAGAACAAAAAAAAAGCCTATGGACATGTTTACTTCCAGCACTGACTTGCTGTTGCACTGTAAGATGTCTTTGACATTTATTGATTTTCATGAATTAAACTTGTTTTGAAACAACACCAAAGTTAAGTGTGTAAATGTGGTGACTTCCACATTATCATTGTCTTTTTGGAAGCGACACTTTGAACCCACTGTGCTTCTTTAACGGCTGAGAGCTGGGTATCTCCAAAGGCTTTGAGACTGACACAGGCCAAAAGTCCTATTAAGTGCATACCTAAGACATATGTAACTGATACATAGCTTTTGTATTGGGAAATCCTTCAATCCTACCCACTACTTCTCGAGGATGAAATTCTCTGTTAAGTTAAACTTATTAAAGTACTTTTCAATTCTACTTGGTGACTGACACAGGCGGATCTACATACATGTTAGTCAACATCTGACATAGACCTGTTCATTTACAGATGAGGATAAGAGGTTTGGTGGTTTGAGCTGAGAAAATACTTGTTTAGCTACATTCTTATTCCAACTTTCTCACTGGTCTGGTACAGGCCCTAGCATCAAAACAAGACAGAAACAATCTTGTACTATACTCACCTGTGGCACTCTGAGTACTGTAGTGTCCCCCATAGTCTGCTTCAGTGCCACAAGGACACCTCCCAGGAACCCTGATGCCCCATGGATGCGGACAGCAAACAAGAAGTCCAGGTCAAAGGTGGCAACGTAGGTGAGGAGATAGGAGAGGCCTGCCAGGAGGCCTGCAGACACATTGACCACAGTAAAGAAGATCAGGAGCTCCAAAGCACCCCACAGAGGCTCCAGGAGTCGCCCACAAGCCATAACGGTCCCAACATTGGCTGCCACACCCCAGATGTGCTGCTCCACCACCCCATGGGTCACCAGTGTCCACATCCAGAAGTTAGGAGGAAATAAGTATCCCGGGGTCACCCCCAGAGCGTATGGAGTGTCGACAGCCCATGACAACAGATAGAGGACGACCACCACTGCACTTATAGATTTGACCACCACACTGGTGCTGGCAAGGGCAGCCAGGAAGTGCTGTCGAGCCACCGGCAGGTAACGATTCATTTTGGCTGTTTTGAAGATGATCTTTCTTGAGCAAATCAGCTCAAGAGAGTGAAGCGGCAGGTCAGTGTCTTCTGTTGCAGCACAGCAGATGCTGGGGTGTTGATGTTCAGTTACTAATGCCAAGCAGAACAGGTGACACCCGAGTGTCCCAACAAGATCAAAATCCACTCATCTTTGTGAGCCTTCATTCGGGTAACCGTCCTCTAGTGAACTAACGAAATCTTTGGTAAGCACGAAATGGAGTTGAACTCCTTTTGTCAGAACAATTTAGCAAACTTCTTCTATAATCATGACGATATGATAACCTTAGCTCGAAGACCTCCTCATCCCGATCCCTGACTAGCCACCTGAAGTCAGGGTACACAAAAGCAAAACCAAGCATACAGTCCACCACAACTAGGGTGGTCCGAGTCAAATATGCAAATCCCAACTGCTACAAATAAAGCTCAGAGTAAACTTCTCCAGAGGATCACGGCTAACTTAGCTTGTAAACACAAGACAGCTAATGTTAGCTAGCTGTCAAAATAAAAGCGTCTTACGTTACACTGCTTTTCATTCGCCTTTGAGGATCAAAAGATTTGGTTATGAGGCAGGCCCCCCGAAAACTGTAAAACGTGACCGGTCAAACAGGTTCACGGAGCTCCTGTGGTGGTCCTTTGCGCTCTCCCGGCCCGGTGTCTACCGGGGCTAGCCCGAGGATTTCTCGTCGCTAGCAACAGGCCTTCAAAACAATGTGTGAGACGTTTTTGCGGCAGCGTCCTTTCGCGTGGAACTCAATTGTCTGTCACACGGCCTAGGCTTCATTCGTTTGGTTGTTTTTTTGTTTCCGTTCTCCCGTCTTTTGATAGCAGGTCGCTGGAGGAAATTACATTATCTTGGTAAGTACTCCTCCTACCAGTAACACTACTCAGAAACTGACCTGCGCTGTCTGCCACCGTCATCAGCAATCGGTGGAAAAAAACGTCAAGTCACGTAAGCTTTACAACACCAAAGGATCCTGGGAAACGGAGTTCTAAACAAATTGCGTCCTTGGTAATGCTACATCCCCAACGTTTGCGCATAATGGCTGTACATTTTAACTGCATGGGGTTTACACAGATAGGCTGCTATCTCTGGTTGTCCAACGAGTCATCTACATTTTGCAGGAAGTTGCTGATAATCATTTTGCAACAAAAACTCAGTAATAATGGTATGAACTTTTTTTGGTTAACGTTTTCAAAGGTAAATTCACAAGTAATCAAATGTGTTTCACTCGTGGTGCAGAATTCCCCATAATTAAACTCAGGTAAATCGTGGATTTTATTTGGCCTAGCACTGTTGAGGTAAGGCATGTGTAGGGAGGTTAATTGTGGCTCAAAGTTCCTGACTTGGGCTTCAAGACATCCTAAATAAAAAATAATCCCTAATTTTCATAATGTAATTCTGAGGGCAAAATTACATCATAACCAGTATAGATTGTACAGAATTTGGAGTTTTGCTTAAAGAAATATGTCCAAAATGTCCAGTCTAGATTGAAAAAATAGCCTTCTGGATTTCTAAAATTAAAAGCTCATTGAAAAAAAGACCCACATAATTTCTCATAAGATTATATGGATTTAATAAATAACAATTAAGAATAGCAAAACTGTCTTCGTAGATAACTTGAATGTCCATTTAGATGGGGTAATTGAATTATAAAGCTGTATTAAATATCCAGAGACACCTAAACTGCTTTTTTCCGTTGGGGCCTTATTGATCTACAAGACTTGTGAAATCTCCCTGCTTCGATCTGTCTGGCCAGCTCTTTTTAAGTGTGATCTTGTCCTTACTTTGTTGGGTTAGTTAGTAGCCATCTTTTATGTGGAAATAGAGTAACTTGCTTCCAAGGAACATCAAGGCTTTATCTCTGTTTCTATTCAGTGTACTGTAAATAACCATTTCTCTCATTTTATGTCAATATAATTATGATATTTCGAATTATATATAAATTGTTGATTATATGCCTCATTGTCAAAGTTACAATCACAAAGACACAACAATCACACATATGCATTCATTTTATTTGGAACGACCAAATCTACATCACATTAAAAAAAAAGACAAACCCCATACAAATAAGTTGTTACAAAGATGAAGGACATAGATTACAACAGCAATTTTCATTTACAGTTTACAGAAACAGATTACAATCACAGGTACCATTTCATAAAAAATAAAAAATAAAAAAAAAGACATGATATCCATTGTGCTTCATGGTACATGCTGTGAAGACTCACATACTACACCTTCAGTCATTACACTGTTATATTTAACTTTGAAGATTCATGCACTCTAAAATTGTATGTCCCAGCTCTATTCTGCTGAAGTTGAGACCAGCAGCCATGTTGTTTTTCTGGCTGTGGAGGATAATTTAAAATAATCTGTTTTATACATAATTGATTCAGAGGCACAATTTAGTCCTAAAACCGTGGTTATAATTCTTACTTTCAGTCAGTGTGACTGGTAAATTAGAAACAAGGTTATGAACAGTACATACAAACAAAAAGTAGTTGCCAGGTTTTGCATTTCAAGTTCCATGTAAATGAGATATGGCAAAATTAGTTAAGATACCCATTCTCCACAAAACCAAACCAAACTTTAGTTTGAAGGGCATTAAAAACATGACACTAATTGCTCTTTGTAACCCTGGACATTTCACCCTCTCACTGATAATAAAGGCCCATGATCTCACTAAGTTATCACCATCATCAACTTTAAGACCTAACCCTATTGTAAAAAAAAATAAAATTAAGGCTGTTGGATTTTCATGATTAATTAAAAAGTGACATTTTTGCTGTTTGCTCTGAAATCAAAATGTGACAATTCAAACGTGGAATGTAAAAATCTGCCAAAGTCAAAACGCTTGTACAGGAAAATCAATTATCTAAGTGGGACACGAGAAGTGGGTCAGTAACCCAAAACCTGTGTTTCACTATGTGTTAAAAACTAGTACAAGATAACAAAATATACCAAATCATGAAATACGGAACCATAAGTACTTGATGTACCAAAACCTGTGATGATGATCATGATGCAAATACGTTAACAGGGGGCAACAACCCACTTCAGGTCTGGTATTTTGATTTTACCTGATTCTGCTGTGAATAGGGAATTCTTATTTTTCTTCTTTTTTTCCTCATTTTTGATTCATTTTGTGTGTTTTTCTCAGCTGAATGATTGTAGTTCAGAAACTCAACAGCTTATCTTCAACAGGTGCTGCATATTTTTGCTTTTACCTTTAGAGGCTTCAAATACTCAGCGAACCTTTATTGCTTTGGTTATTTTCTTTGCAGATTCACTTTTTTAGGGGGTCAAAACGAAAATGCCATTTACACCCACATATTGATGTTTTTATTGAGTACCTCTGCAGATGTTAATGCAACTTGCATGTATTATTTTAAAGTCTATAAACACAAAAAATGATCTTTTTTGTCCCTCTGAAGACTTGTCTGATTTAATTTGTTTTAGGACTCAAAGATGGTGAAAACCAGGTCATTTTTTCCCAAATAGACCATTAACTCTTCTGCAGACATATAATTACATTGCTCGTTTCTATCTCAGGGTTTCTTGCTACATCTTTTTCTTAAAGCCCAGTGATTCTACTGAGAGTCTGATTCTTAAGCCACATTGTTCACTATACTTAAATTTATAGACAGTAGGCATGCAAAGTGTAGTCACCTCAAAACAAACACAAAAATGATCTGTAAATTACACTGCTCATATTGCATCAAATGTGATTGTTGGGGGAAAAGGTGAACTGTTGGTGAAGTTTTCAGTTATTCTTAACTACATGTGCTTGAATGTGTTTAAGTGTGTGTGTGTGTGTGTGTGTGTGTGTGTGTGTGTGTGTGTGTGTGTGTGGGGGGGGGGGGGTAGTAGGCACTACCTCTGCTACTGTTGCTGTAAATAAATTAGGAAAGGTATTATTTAGAACATGTTTCTTTTTATTTACAAACTTCAAAAAACGAACAAAAAATGATCTAAAAGTAATTCAAGGTCATAAACATTGTCCATCCATAAACTACACAACAGGCTATGAACACAGCCAATCCTCAAAGACAGCAGCTTTAATCTTCTCCTCGGCTAAAATGGAACAGGAGATGGTCAGTTCATCTTGCCTGACCCGATCAATTTTTCATAAATAAATATGTAAATTCAAGTAGAAAGCTGTGAAATATGAGTCAGTCAGCGCAGCAAACTCCGAGCTGACGACCAAACAGTTCAACATTGAGGAACTCACTCGCTTGCTGTCACAGGGATGACACAGATGGACATTTTTGATGATATGATAATACACAAAGAAAATTCAAAGAGGAAAAAGAAGCACTTAATTTCACTTTATCTTTCTTTTCAACTTCTGCATGCTTGGGCTGCCTCAGTTTCTGACCAGTGCTTGTGAATTAGCATTATTTACATGCAAAGAAAGGATCATGTCATTTAGAAAATGTACTTAGAATTTTGTTTTTGTGTGTATGTGAAAAAACTCGTGAACAGGCAGGATGATAGACGAGTCTGAGAAATGTTTATCACAGCTCGTAACACAGTAAACATCACTGTGTCTCTAATGCTTTTGTCTGGGTTTCTTACAATCGAGAGCTGATCAGAGTTGTTATACTTTACATCTTAAATATGCTAGTCTAGTTGTTTGCACAGTATGCACTATTTAGTTGGTCCACATGCAAGTTCTGCACAAGTTCACATGCTCGGGTCAGATCGGCAGATCATCAGTTCTCTCAGTACAAAAAGACAAACAGAAAATGTTACGATCTGTGGTAACAACAACAGTAATATGATCATAAAAAAACTTACAAGATAAAGAAAAGCAACAAAAGGAAACAAAAAATGAACATAGTACAAAAATAAAAATGAATAAATATGCACCGTCATAAATAAATTAATTTGGTAAATTCAAACATTGTAAAAAGAGAGAAAAAAAAAAGAAAAAACATGAGTAAACTAACAATTTCTGTATGAAGAACAAATAAAAGGAAGTGAGAGAAAAGGAAATGCTTCGTCTTTTGTCTTTTCTTGACCATGTTTCTTTCCAAACACAAGAGCTGGTGCTTTTTTTTTTAAAGCTCTCACTGAAGCCATTTTGGAGGAGAAGATTTTCTACTCTGGGACCAGAGTGAAGGGTTTGTGTGATCAGAGAGGATTGATGGGGACAGCAGAACTATGGTTCATGTTCATCTGAAAGTATCTTGGTCACATGATGAAGCTTTCCAGCTTCCAGACGGTCTACAGACAGATACAGATTAGTGTCTCTTATACAGTGCAGTACAGTGTACAGTGTTACCTGTCAGGTCATACAGAGGGGTGGATATGTAGGTGTTGACTGTGAGGATGCTGCAGAGAGTGTTTCTGTGGAGGATTTGAATTCCTCTCTACATCATTGTCAACATTATTTGGTCTCTTGAGACACAATCCTCTTCGGCGGAGGTTTTGATGTGCTTCTGCGTTTCTTGTTTTAACAAAGCCACACCATCTCTCCAAAATTAAAGTCAGTTTGGTTTCACAATGACCTCTGTTCACAAAATGAGATGGGTAAGAGAAAAAATAAAACACAAGAAGAGGTGGAATCTGTTGTTTTTAGAACAAGTTTCCAAACCGGGTAAATCAAGTTCAGTTGTTTTTCAGCGATTCCTTTTGTAACCCTAAAGAACACGACACACAGATACGAACACAGTAACGACACCAGCGTAACCACCACCACTCAGGGTTGCGAGCTTAATTCTTCTGGGGTTGTACAAACACATATATAGGCTTGAGTGTTTTGCATCGTTTTTCGCGAGGCTACAGTAAGACTGTGGGTGAGATTCAGAGAGCCGCTGTGAGTGCCTGTCTCTCTTCACCTATCCTCTCCTACAGTTCACATTCAGAAAGATGGAGGCAAAAAGGCATTTTCTGTTGGTTGTTTCTCCGCTACGAGGAGGAAACCTCACTAGAACACAGTTTTTTTCTCATTTTCACCTGGCTGTCTTTTAGGCAATGATTTTTCTTTTAAAAAGTAAAAGAGAATACATAAATATAAAAGACATACACACACAAAAATACAGAAAAATCACATCTTCCCACATCGGATGCCTGAACAGAAGGAGTCGTTTCAAAAAGGCCTGGTTTCAAGGCATTTGATTAAGAATACATTCTGTCTTTTGAGTTTTTAAGGTTTCAGTAATTGTCTTTAATCCCGTCCTCAACCAGCCTCAACATCGTCTTCATTAACTCAAGATGATCTTGTTCTTTGATTAGATTTTCTTCAAGAACAAAGACAAACAAACCCCCTGCTCTGGCAGTGAATTACTGAGTCAAACAGAAATGCTTCCTAAAGATTGGTAAGATCTTTTCACTATTTCTTTTTCCATTTAAAGAAGAATTCAGTAGCAATATTTGACAAATGACAAACAAAACCATTTCAGTTACTGATATTCAACAAATGTTACTACCAGCTACCTTAATTATCAAACCTTTTTTGAGAAAATTTCCTCTATAATCATCATTTTGATTAGCTGAAAAAAGCAAGTCTCAACATCGAGCAAAGCTGCACAACTAAAATCTCTAACGTCAACAGGACAACTAGTGGCCATTTATGGCCACTGCGAGCCCACCCTCAGCAGTACCTAGTCCAGTGGTCAGGATATCAATGCTAGTTTTGGACTCAATCTTGTAAGCCCAAAGTCCGCAGATTTTCCTCTTCCGTCTGGGTTTTTCTTTCTCAGGATTCATCTTCTGATTTTCAGCTTAAAGACTTGTCACATTTTTCTTCGATCCACTCAGCCTGTTTCTCTGAGGCAGAAAGAAACCCGTTAGCATGGGCTCAGTTGTCATCCGTTATCTTTAATTTCAGTCCGTTTCCCTCATGGTCTCGGCCACAGGCGCTCTAAAGCCTGCATCCTGGCAAATAGGATCTCATCCTATCTCTATGACAATTACATCAATTCAAGCTTGCTCAAACAACCACATACATCATCTGTCACTGTCCACTGACTTCAATTACGTCATCGTCGTCGTCAGAGCTGCTGGAGCTGCTAACATTCCCGCCATTAACCAGCACAGGGCCCAGGTTACCCTCTGACCGTGCTGTGGGGGAGAAGGAGGAGGGAGATGAAGAGGAGGAGCTGGAGGCAGTGGTTGGAGGGTACTGAGAGAGGAAACTGGCTCCAGCTGGACCAGGAGTAGCAGCTGGACCTGGCAGCCCACCTGGAAGCATAGAACCCGCGTAGAGACTCGCCAAAGACTGGTTGTAGGAGAGAGGGAATCCTGGGTGGAGCATCCCAGCCATGCCTGCCATACTGGGGCTGAGCATGAAAGGTGGGAGGGCTCCTGGAACTGAAGCTGCAGCTTTGATTGAAGCAGAGGTTGACAATGATGAGGAAGAGGCGGTGGCAGTAGCAGTGCTTGTAGTTGAAGCCGTGGAGCAAGAAGAGGTGGGGACTGCACTGGCTCCACCAAAGCCGAACAGATCTGGATAGATGCAGCTGGGATCACTCAATTGACTGTTTGGAGGCTGGAAATAAGGCGAGCCAGCCCCCATGAAGAGTGAGTGCCCCAGTGAGCCACCCAGCATGGCCGAGTTGAGGCCCAAAGGGGGAAGGCCGTATCCTCCACTGAAGGGAAAGCCTTGCGGAGGAGCTGAGGAGTGTTTGCCTGTCAGTGGCTGCTTAATGGGCCGCTCCTCCTGGGATGGGGTGGAGGCTTTGCGCTTGGTGCCTGCTCTCATGTCTTGGGCTGCAGTAGCGTCCATTTTGGGTTGGATGACGTTGCCACTGCCGCTGTTTGTCTGAACAAGCTTGGAGGAAGTCAGGCTGTTCTCTACTGCCCCCTTTGCTGTTTGAGCTCCAGCTGTGCTACTTGTGTAGCGCTGCAACTCGCTGATGATCTCTGGGCTGTCTGGTGATAGAGGGCGGGGCAAAGTTGTGGAGTTGGCCTGCAGCTTCCTGTCTGGCGACAGACAACTGTTACCTCCATTGGTTGACATATCCTCTGGCAGGGCTATGGAGTCTAAAAAAGACAGAAGGTGTAAATTCAAGTGTTTTGGAACAGAATGAAGCCTTTTAATTAAAGATATTGATATTAGATATAAGATATACGATATTGCCCCTTTGATGTCTGTGTTAGTAGATGGTGAATGGACTATGTTTCTGTAGAGCTTTCTCTATCCTGACCACTCAAAGTGCTTTTACAACACATGTCACATTCACACTACATGGCTGCAGAGGCTGCTACGTATGGAGCCCATCAGTCTTTGACTGATTCCATTCACACACTACTATATATTGCTAGCAGAGACAGGTGGGGTTAAGTGTCTTGCCCAAGGACACTTTAGTATGATTGAATCCCCAACCTTCCAAATGGGAGAGGACTGATTCTACCGCTGAGCCACAGCTGCTCTCGCAGTGGTTTTTCATGATTCAGATTTGTTTTTGTTATGATCTCAGATTTTATAACCCTCATTTCAGCCTCTCTCTAGAACGCTTCATTCCAGCCACTGGCACTTCAGAGCCCTCCTACACTGTTGCAATGCTATAAAGTTGTTGTCACTTAGTAAACCACAATTCTCTCTCTTTAAAATGACAAATTATAGGTCAAATGTTTTGGTCTGGAAAGCCTGGAAAGGAACCAAAAAAAACCAGCAACAAAAGAAAAGGTAAGTGTTTTTTGGATGGATTTTGTGTAGCTGTCATGTTCATAGCAGCCCACAGTCCTTTCCTGGGATTACTCAAACACATTTACCTCAACATTTTGAGACTTTCCACACCTTTAGTATTCTCATCAGTCATTTGTACTCTGAATTTATGTGTCACATTGGAAAAAAAATATCATAGGACTAACTCAGTAAATAATATCTACATGACAATTCTAATTTGTTCACCTAATGTCCCATCTGAGACATGTCTGCATGCAAAAACACCGGTGTGTGTGTTTTTAGTAGAGTTCTGGCTGTGAATGATCCTACCTTTGGTCGCTGCAGAAGTACCATCCTCTGTAGTCTTGGGCCTGTTAGCAGCTCTGATGGCAAAGATTCGGCCATCTGATGTCCGGATGTAAGTCCCTGAAAAAGAAAGATAAAGTAGGACAGTTATTTATCAGCAGCCGACAACAAACCAACAAATATTGTCATGCAGCAACAGTTAAATAATCAGGTCATGCTAATGTACCTTTAGTGCCTCTGATGATGTGGATGCTCTCTCCAGCAGAGATTCTGGCCTGGACATCTGTTGAGCTGTTTGTCCCTGGAATCACTATGTCTAAAAGAGAGAGGACAGATCATGAGAAGATAGAAACATTTTTTTTCCTTGCAAATATCATGAGGACTTTTTGGACTTTTATTGTTTGTAATTCAGGAGAATTTTTAACAGGTGTGTTGATGGGGATCTACAGAATCAAACAGGTCGACAAAAGTTTGGTCCATGTGCAGTTTGCCTACCAGTAGTGGTGACAATCTTCTGCACAAACACTCCAGCTTTTTGCAGACAGTTGAGGGGAAAACCTCCCAGGTTGGATCCTGGTGCATCCCCCCCTGGTGCCGAGCCTGTAGTTGCCTGTCGGGCCATCATGGGAACTGGAGTTGACTGGACTGGCCTAACACTGGCTACTGACTTCTCTTCAGGTCGAGTAGGTGGGCGCCTGAGTGGAGAGTTTATTTTCTTTATAGTTAATAACAAACCAGGGTTGGGTGTGAGACAGCTGATCAGTTCTGTATGAAGTCTTCTAAGATTATGTAAAAGGGACTGACCAGTTCCTCTGACTGAAGGCAGGGATGTTGGTGAGGCTCTGGTCGCTTGCAGGATAGTAGTGAGCGTAAGAAGGACGAGTGTATGGCACAGAAGCCCTCTTCTCTAGTTCATACCCTTTCTTTGCTGCTTTCTTCTCAGCAGTGCTCAGCTTCATCTCTCTGCGGTCCATCAGCAGGGACTCGTGAGGGAATGGTTGCTGGAAGGAGGAAAAGGTTGATTAAAAACCCGGAAAACGCAGCAATGTACCAGATATCCAAGCTCGTTTCTGTCCTAGGCTTAAACCATGTAACTTGAGCTTTTGGTTTGAGGGTGTAGGTTGAAACGCATCCACTGAGAATCCTGCAGGTTTAATGATGAGGTGACTCACCACATCTAACCCTGACTACCTGCATGAGCTCTCTAAAATAGTGGATACAGTCAAAGTAGAGAGTAATTCCAGCTGCTTGTCACAGCTTTCACCTCACATTAATTCTACAAGTAGATTTAGAAGGTAATCACAACAGCGTTTGACTATTTCATTCAAACAGCCCGAGCTTGTAAGATATTCATTAGAAGAGAGCTGTCAATCACTTTAAATACAAGCACTTAACAGAAAACAGAAAACCCTCAAAAGATCCAAACGAACAGGCTGTTAGACAGTACATCCTGCAGAATCATCTACATGTGCTGCTCTTTAACACCGGGGGGGTTTATCTACCTTGGTTATCAGGTGAGGAAAACTGTGCAGTGCCTTCCTGAGGACGCCCTCCATGTTGTCTTGAGGCTTCAGCTGGACCTGAGCAGGGTCCGGCTCCTCTTCTACAAAGTGAAGAAGAGATTCCACTTCTCTCCTGGTGAAAGTTAGCACAGGGTTCAGGTCATCCACCACACGATCTAGAGAAGGAGACAGAAATAAGGGTTGAGATGAGTTACATGGAAAAAGAGTCTTCTTTTCTCAAGCTCTTTCAGGTATAAGTGCCTTCAGTATCTCTGTCTCCTCAGTCTCAGATTATAAAAAACACTTGAGACACTTTTGTTTGTCAGACAAAAGCTCTTTGCAGAGGAGCTCGGGTTGCTGGGTTAAACTTTGCTGTTACATTAGTTTTGAGGGGGCTGTCTGCTGAGTGTTCAGACAAAGGAGTCTGGACTGATGTGTTACTTTTCTTCTTTGTTTCTGTTTTAGAGAAAACATAAACTGCATGTGTTTTATTTGTGTAGTCATGAAGGGAAATTAACGCTCAGTACTGCATTTTCCAGCTCACCTGACATGCCCTGCTTGGAAATCTGGCGATCATAGATTTTCTTCTCCAGTGTGAAGTCACACACCAGTCTGTAGATATGACAGGGCTTCCTCTGACCATAGCGGTAGACGCGGCACACAGCCTGGGCATCATGGCACGGGTTCCAAGAGGCATCAAACACCACCACACGGTTTGCACCAATCAGGTTTACACCAAGACAGCCCGCTCTGAAGTCCAGAGAAATGAGCAATCAGGGTCATGATGTAGTTGTTCATTTCAGTCTTGATTATTTCTCTCCACTGACTTGTTGTTTTATTTTTTGTGTTACCTTGTTGACAGCAGGAAAACCCATGCTGAGCTGTTGGATGGGTCATTGAACTGGTTTATCAGTCTCTCTCTTTCTGAAGCTGTTGTACTGCCATCTAGTCCTGAAAGGTAAAACAGCCATTATGGGTTAAATCAAGGCTTTCAACAGCAGAAGGAAAAGTCTTACTAACCAACCTTTTCTTTCAGTTTGTCGCTCTGTAATTTTCAGTTATAATCAGTTTATCAGTTATTGGTATCTTTGAACTGTGTGTAATCTGGGAACAGTCATGACTCATGACTTCACATGTGACACCTCGTCCCTGTGGTGTTGATAACCTTTCAGCTCTTATCAGTGGCTAAAACAAAACAACACAAATGTTTACAGAAACCACAGGTTTGAAAGAAGTTTACCAAATTGTAAAACTGCATAATGGTGGACATGGTTTTCATTGTAGACAAAGTAAGCCACCTTGAAAAAGTTGTCCCACAGAGATGGTTAACCAAACCTAGAGAAACATGTTTAAAAATGACTCATTACCACAAACGCAAACTTGATCAATGCTGGGAGTTTCTTTCTATGGCTGTGGAAAACTAGTTCTTCAAGTCTGGATGGTTTCACAATTTCACCAGCAGATGGCAGCACTCATTGCAGGCGAATGGGAGGAGGGGTTCTAGTGGACTACCACAGCAATGTGAATACAACCATAGTATTTAACAAGAACAGAAAGAGAGGGTGCTCTTCATACCGCCCAGTCTTTAGTCTTTTCTTTTCACCACTGTGCTTAGCTGCACCTTTCAAGCCTGTCTATCTGCTACAATGTCTGCTTGTTGTCCTCCATGGCCCTGATAGTAGGTTTCTGGATGTTTTAGATGGATGATTTGCTGATTCATAGATTTTGCAAGAAAACGAGTCTCATCAAAAGGTACTTACTGTAATAGTTTAGGTTGCGGACCCAGTTCTGGTTGGGTTTGTCCTTACTGGGCGCATTGGGTGAAGGAGGCACCGGTCTCTTGGCCAAAAATTCCTCGATCACCGTCAGTGTGGACAAACTTTGACTACAGGAGGAAGATTAAAACATATGTTAGAAAGCTTAAGCAATGTGAATACGGCATATAATGGCTTTATCGGGCTTACTGACATGACTGAGAAAAACATGTCACATCTACCTGAAGACAAGGAGTTTGTCTCCTTTCCTGACGCTCTCCTCTATCAGGTGAAACAGGAGCACCATTTTTGCAGAGTTCTCTAAGATACCAGGCTTGTAGTCACACATGATATCCTTTGCCTGGTGATGTGAGAAGAGACACTTGGATTAACCTTCACTTCTGCCACCTTTACATTCACTCTACCTAAAAGAAGTGACATTCACCTCTGAGAAAGGAGAAGAATAGAATAGAATAGAATATTCCTTTATTGATCCCCCATGGGGGAAATTTTTTTGTCACAGCAGCATCACAGACAAGCCAAAAAAAAAGCCAAAAAAAAGTCATCACCAGAGCTGTGAATTCTATCTAAAAGTTTAACTTCACACTCTAAGTGCATCTCTAAGACTCTGGTACTGATGATTAATGGAAGTGTGATATTCTGTTTGTGCATCCCCTTTTATAAAGTGTGTGCGGCTCTGAACTGACACCAGATTTAAATGTAGAAAAGCCATTATCTGTTTCTGTTGGCATCACTTACCCATTCATAAGTGATGACCTGATTGGCTTTCTCCTGCAGCTGGTTGAGACTCAGTCCACCAATGGGGTTTGGATTCTCAATTGGCTTTGACTTTTGATTGGGTGCAGTTGGACATCGGGCAGCACCTGCAGAAGTGATGTCATCGAGGTCTAAGTCCTGATCACTTGCCAGGTTTTCCTTTTGTAAGGCCTCGTATAGCACGTCCGGATGGTTCCAAATCTGAAGAATAACAGGAGATCAGCAGAGTGAAAAACCCTTTGAAGTAAGAACCCCCCCTCAACTTTCCAGGTAAAATAAGTATGTGGGAGTTTGTGTTGGGGCAGAAAAAGTTTGTAGCTTGAGCAAATTGCTACAAGGACTGCTTGAGTTCAAACTGATCTAGACATTTTCAGAAGTTATTTGATATCTATCCTTTACTGGTAGATTAGATTGCAATGACAAGTAGTAGATGTTCTAACAGAAAAGAACTTATCAAGAAACGGTCATTATTGCACAGCTTCTTTAGACCCATTATAGGTTAATGTCTTTAAAAGAACCAAAGAACCTTTTCCTCACCTTGCAGCAGACACAGAAAGCTTTCAGTGGGTTGAGACTGAGCCAGCCGGTGTTTCCTGCCTCTCTGAAGCGGTTCATAAACTCAGTGTAGAGTGCCCTCTGCAGGGGAGACAGACGCACCAGGATCACATGTTCCTCTTTGGAGGGCAGCTGGTCCCTTAGAACATCATGACCCCGTCTGGAAGAAACATGATTCGCAATTGTTATTCTGTGCAAGTGTTATCGAAACAGAGGAAAACTGTGAGGTCTTCAGAGACCGTGTATTTTCTGTGACATTTTTAATGGAGGTCAGGTTTTGTTTGAGAGGGGTTCAAAAGGTGGCTGCCTCACCTCTGTACAAAGCCCTCCAGCAGGCTGTGCAGGACGTGGCTCCTGTACCTCATCAGCTGGATGTCCTGGGTCGTGCTGTCCACACACTGCCCGTTAAGAATGGGGCGCTCAAACATGTTACTGAACTCCTGCCGTGTACCTGAAACACACAAAGGATGTCAAAATGAAGCTAGAGCAAGAGAACAAACACATGAAGTTTTTTTCTTTTTTCATTTAAAGAGGACATGCCAACATCTTTAGGCTTAAGCTCACTGACTGATCAAAAAGACTTCTCTTAAAAAAAACAACTTCCTCTTACCTAGAAAGTCGGGTCGGACAAAGTCCACCATACACCAGTACTCGATCAGATTGTTTTGAAGTGGGTAGCCTGTCAGGACAACTCTGCGTCGAGTCCTGATGTTCTTCAGGGCCTGCGATGTGCTGGCATGGCAGTTCTTGATGCGGTGGCCCTCATCACAGATCACCACATCTGGACCAGGCCGGGCCAAAGCTCTTTCAATACCTGATGGAGAAGTCCAGAAAAACAAACATCAGCTTTTACTTGACAGAGATGCTTTGAGAGGAATCTCTTTTTTTTTTGTTTGAACATATGACCCTTTCTTGACCCTGGCTCCCCCACACACCCGACCGGTTCGCCCACCTTTGAGTAACTCCTGCTGCCGGTCCTCCTCATCCAGGTCAATAACAACCGGTCCTGTTGCTTTCTTGCTTTTTCTCTTCCTCCCAGCCACAAAGCTCTTCTTCATGGACAGGAGGCGGTACATCTCATAGCCCATCAGCAGCACCCCTCCATCCCGAGCCCAGTCCTCCACCACCTTAGCTCTTGCTGTGGTATTCCTGAAGACGAGGGAAACAGTCAGTGGTTGATTAAACAGATTTTCTTATTCTAGGGAATTTAAACTCTATTTTTTTTCACTTTTGGTTTGCTTCACTTATAACCGCTGAAATCAAATGATCCACCCATGACTCCAATACAGTAACATGCACTTAAGGCATTGCAGAGTAGCACTGAAATGCTCTCCTCCCTCCTTCTCAATCAATATAGGAGTTTCATACAAATGTAATGTAATGCATCTTCAGGAAAGACTGAGAAAACAGAAACTATGTTGTAATAGCTCTGCAGATTGTATTGCATTTCACAAAGAAAATTCAAATTAATAGAATTTAAATCCAACCCTGTTAATAAATAAATCCCTTACTATGTAAGATGACTTGTTCATTAAAATAAGGCATTTCAATTTGGTTCATTTACAAAATTATTAAGTACAAGAGTATTATGTACTGGAGTGGAAAGCGTAATGAGGTTAGTGTGTCACTTTCAGACACAGTTGGTCTATGGAGCTGCACACTCATCATGCAGCATTCCTTCCTTGCTCCTTAATCTCGAACACACACACACACACACACACACACACACACACACACACACACACACACACACACACACACACACACACACACACACACACACACAAAAGGTTGTGCATGCAAGAGTCTGAGATTCTTTCCAGCAGGAGCAGCTGTTGAAGACGGGGATGATGGAGGGATGGGAGAGGGGAGGAGCTAGATGGGGATTCAGTGCAGCAGCACATGAGAAGGTCAGCTCTGTCAGTTCATTAAACAGACAGAAGGAAAGTTTCCTCACTTGTGTGTGATCACAGAGCAGCACCCAAACTTTGGAGATAGCATTTGAAATTTACAAATGAAGCCACTCTAAATGTGTATCCATGTCAAAACCATGCATGTTTAAAGAAGTCAAGAGGGATGCTGTGACATGAACATTTTCCTCTGTTGTGTTACATAGTCCCACACATTGAAGCACTCGGGCTAAAGAGAGATGAAAATGATGAGTGCTCCTGCTCCTGGTACTCACTTGTGTTCATCATTGAGGATGTGAACCTTAAAGGCTCGTGGTGTCACCAGTTTGGGGTCAGTGTCTGGAGGTATCACCTCAGGGGGTGGGACCCAGGTGTTAAACTCGGACAGCCAGTTCTGCAAAGTGTTGACCTGGGAGGAGATTAACAGTAAGACAGTGAACCATCGTTCTCAGTATTCACTGAGTTCTGGTTTCATTTAGAGGTACACACAGATTAATGATTATGATTATTACTGATTATGTTTAAGCTCCATCTCCGTTTGCTCATATTACACAAGTAGGATTTAGAAGAAACACTAACAATGTACTTATGACTTTGATATATTGATGCTGAAAGGTAAAAATCACTGAACAAAACTTTGGTGTAATCTTTTCCGTCAGTTTTTTTCTTAAGGTGAACCATTGGTTACTTACAGGTACGATGGCGAGCACAGTGTGAGCCTTGGTGTGTCTGAACAGGACATCAATGAAAGAGATGACCTGAAGTGTTTTCCCTAGGCCCATGCTGTGAGCGAGGATGCAGCCGAACCCGCTGCTGCTGCTGAACCGCTCCACCGATTCCACCAGGTTATCATAGAGGAAGCGAATCCCACCAATCTGTTGCAATGAAAAAGAAAAAGACAGCGAGGGCAAAGTGATTAAGACAAAACTGGAGCCACAAGACAAGAAAGCAAGGTAGTGAGGACAAAAGGATGTAGGCGTGTAATTAAACTGAGAGAACAGCAGTGAAACAGCAGAGGGGAGATTTTGTTCAAACTAAAGGAAAAGGTCAAACAATTACCTGGTGAGATTTGACTGCTCGTGCCAGCTGAGGCAAAAGGAAGATATCCTCCTCTGTGTCTTGGTGGTTCACGTTGACCAGCACTCTGCCCTCACTGTCTGGGCAGTTCAGGGTGTCGTTTGTATGAGCTCCACTTGGCTCACTCTCTTCCTCGTTGGCGGACTCACTGCTAATGTGGATGACAGCTTCGTCCTCGCCTGAGCTAAGATCGATCACATCTGTGTGGATGGAGGAGATAAGTGAGGAAACGTGGATTTTAGGTTTCCAAGATTCAAGTATTAAAGTGTGTCTTCTGTGAACTTAGTAAACTATTTTTTGTAGCACCATTTTTTTAAACTCTTGTCATCTAACACTGAAATACTTGAGCATCTTTAAACTTCGCTTCAATGAAACAAAACATCACAAGCTTCTTCTCCAGATAGACGAACAATGGTACAACCATAATTCATCAACTTTTACTTTTTTATACTTTTTTACATTAAAATGCAAAGAAATACTCAAGTGGTAAAATATGACTTTTCAGAGGCTTTATAGACTATTCAGAATTTTTTTCTTTGGATGAAAAGAATTTCAGACTATTTCTCAAGTTTTCAAAAGTTTGTTAAGCACCTTCAATAACAGACTCTCAAGCTTCTCTAAGGCTGATAGAAAACTGGACCAGAAGGATTCGGGACTACAGCTGCAGCTACTCCCATGACGACAGTTACCACTTGATTCTCATTGGCCTTGATACATTTGTCTCAAGTGAAGCGACAAAGAACGACTCCATCATTTACTTGACTTGTGTTGTTACATCAAATATGGACGTCATCCAGTGTGTGTGTGCATGCGTGTGTGTGCGTGTGTGCGTGCGTGCATGCGTGCGTGTGTGGAGTGGAAAGACTGAAATCCATATCTGATAAAAAGGACTTCAACGTCAACAGTATCAAGTGGTGAAAGTTACACAAGCTGGCAGTCTGCGAGGGCATGACGGGAGAAGGAGAGGTGTGTGAGTGTGTGTCAGTATGTTAGTGTGTGTATGTGGAGAGAGAGAGAGAGAGAAAGAGCAAGAGAGCTTATATAACAGCAGTGAATGGCTGGTTATACAAGTAGGATTAGAGTGGAGGGGGAGACTGGTTATGCAACCCCAACTAGAAATGTCACTGTGCCACCGTGAGTGTGTGTTCGTTATATATATATGTGTATGTGTGTGTGTGTGTTAATATATGTGTGTGTTCTGGCTCATAACCAGGATTAGCCAGCTTTTTTGCTCCACAGGCACGCTCTGATCTGCCCCCCTCACACACACACACACACTCTCTCTCTTTTATCTCTCTTCCTTTCTCCACCCTTTGATCGTTTTTTTCCTCTCTCTCTCACTTTTTGCCTTTCCAAGCTTCCAACTCCACATACTGTCTTAGTTTATTTGGCCCCGTCACTGTCTCTCTTCCTCTCTCTGTCTCTCTCTCTCTCTCTCTATCTGTCGCACACACAAACACAAACGTATGTTTGCCTGTGTGTTTGTGTTGCAGGTGTGTTTATCCTGTTTGAAAGGCTGCGTGAAAGTGTGTCCGTGCGCTTGGGCAATAAGGGAACAGTACACAATGTACTGGTGGAGGTTTTAAATATTCTAATGCACATGGCAGCTAATCTACGAAAACTCTCTTTAGTTTTTTTTTAGCAGCGCTACACAGACACGAACACACACACACAGACACGTACATACACACTCACAGAGGCTCCTAACCTAACAGGAAATAGGGACCTTTGTTGACCTTGGTTCAAATACAGTAATTGGGTTTAAAACATTTGAAAAAGGCTGTTTAATTTGTTCAACCTTCAAGGAAAAACTTAAATCATTGAACTTTTCCTGATCGCAGAGTTTGTGTTTGAAAGTGGGTTATACTTGCTGAAAACAGTCTACTTTAGCATTTAAGTATCTATTGTTTTCTTGCTTCAGAAAAACACCATTGATCACACTCATGCCCACAAATGATCTCAGATTTCGTAGAAAATTTCAGGTAAATCAATGCCTGGACATCTGCTGTGTCATTGATTCTCCAGTAAGAACAAACAAACAAACAAACAAAAACAATTAAATTTGTAACTCAGTCCTCTGTAGTTTTCGTGGAGATTTGGGCTGATCAGGCCTTTTCGTGTGCCAAATTTCCAGACCCCTAGGGTCAGACAGCAATTTGAAGAAGAGTGTGTAATTCAATAAACTTATGGCTGTCATGGGGTTTTTAGAGCTGCTTTGCTGAGATAACTATCATTAAAGTCACAGACTTGTTTCAGTCAGTGGTTGAATTGTTTTCTTTTGTTAAGTAATTGTTAAAACAGATGGAAAGCTGTGCCAGTACCTTTTTCAGGAATGGCTGAACTTCTGGAGTTTGTTACAGAAAGTTTGAATGTTGCATCAATTCAGTTCAGTTTTTAACACCCTGAACAACTGGAATAAGGTACTGATTCAACTCTTTCCAAACCACTGTTGCATATTTGGCAGTATGGCTCTGTTCTGAGAGCTCCCTGCCTTTCCAGGTGGAATGCCAAAGTCTGCAACAGGGCATGTCCAAACCCCCTCCCCATATCACTTGTGTTCACAAAAAGCCACGGCAGTAAGAGCAATAGCTAAGACCCCCCCAAAAAAGTGAGAGCAGGCGCCAGTGACACTGCAAATGATAGTTGTAAAATCCAACTGAGGCTGGGGTGGAGGTGGGCTGCAAAGCAGTTTGAGGAGGAAGCAGCAAAAGAGGGCAGACTGGAGCAGTTCCAAATGAACACACACCTGATATTTGTGTAGAAGGTAATTGGCTGAGCTGCCAGCTGGTACTGGCTGTGGTTACAACCAGCTGATGTATTGTGGGTGGAGCCTGACTTTATGACCTGTCTAAACTAACACAATGCTAAATAAATGTTTGGGCAGTTTAACATGACAGTTTTATCCTTAATCCACCAATGTAATATATTCAATGAAAAATCAAGAATTACGCTGAAACAATCAAGCTGTAAGTAAGTGACTGACAACTCCACAGTCAAGCTCTCATTTTCACAAATCCATGAAACAGGAAAACTACTGTGACATTTTTGACAGGTGCCATAACCTAAAAGCAAAAAAAAAAAAAGTTTCTTAAAAACTGTAGTGATCTATGAACTTTTATTGAGCATCAAGAAAAAAAGAGATTGGAAAAAGGGTTAAAAAAGATGTGGATCTGTTTGTGTGTAGTTATCTCTAAGTACTCAATATGTGAAAGAGAACTCCTCACACATTGTACTAAAGCTCAGCCTGCTCTGTTTATGCATTTGAAGAATTAGCTGATGGTTTATTTGAGGCTTACTTTGGAATACTAACAGCTCAGAATGAACAGCTAAATGATGAGTCACAAATAAACTTTGCAGCTCCTCTTCCCTATCTGCTTTCATGACCTCCCCCTGCCTTCTGACCTACTAGCCCACTTACACAATCAGAGGTCAAAGGTCAACAGGGGCTGTGGATATTAAATGTGTGTGGCAGAATAAAGGCAGTGGAACTTATGTAAATATACTCTGGTTCACAAAAAATGGGCATAGCTACGTTTTGTTTTGGCTCTTAAAATTAGATGCAGATTTGGGATGCTTTGATTCAGTAGAACACGTCTCTAAAGCAGAGCCTTCAAATGATCAGTATGCTTTTACAGGCTTGACTTGGGTGTTTTCGTTTTTTTCAAGTTGATTTATCAGGTTTTTTTGCCTGAATTCGACACAACAGCCTCAGAGAGGCAAGAACTGTGGGGAGAATTACCCGCACCAAATCATGCCAGAATCAGGAGTCAGTTCAAATAATCCCTCTGTCAGCCTCTGCCCTCTTTTTTTTTATGTACTACCCTGGAGAGACTTTAAATGGCTTTTTTTCCTTTCAGTACACTTCTGCTTTCATTGACTTCATTCATTCAACTTTATAATGAAAATGCTGTTTGCCTGTTTCCACCCTTAAAAAAGTAAAGCAGCTCATGGCTTACACAACAAAAGAAATACATAAGTGAAACTGTGAAGTTTATGGCAGGAGGGTCAGAGTCAAGTTTGATCCCCTATCACTCTGTTTTTCTTTATGTCTTATTCATATTTTTCCCTTTCCATAAAAGTGCAACACAGGGTAATATGGGTAACATCAAAAGGACTTTGTGTGCAAGGTTATGTCTCACCTGTTTTGAGTGTGTGCTCAGTGGGAGCTGATGTGGGTGTGTTGGTTTTGGTGTCATCCTCAATGCTGACGGTGCTGCTGGAGTCAAGACTGATAACCTTATGTTGGGATGACTTCACTTGTTGTGATGTTGCTGATGCCGAAGACACGTGCTTTGTCACTTCATCTTGAGAGAGAGAGAGAGAGAGGACAGTAATAAAAGATTTAAAGCCAAAAAGAAAAGAAAAAAGGGGAAAAATATGAGAGACAGAGGGGGGAGGGAGGCACAAAGTATGCAGGTAGTTTAACAAAACAACTTTGTTGAAGCTTTTCTCAGGGATTTCACATCTTTCGAGAGGTTCATCGTGCTCACCAGATGTGTATTCAGGCAGCAGTGGTACGGGGAAATCCTGTTTCTGCTGCTGCTCCAGCCGTCTCCTCCTCTCCAACTCATCCTGCTGGGCGGCTTTGGTCACTGCCTCCAACTGATGCTCTCTCAGTAATTTCCTACACAGAGAAAATACAAAATGTGCCATATATCTAAAGGTGTGGCTTTTTATGAGCTAAAACAGATGCAGCAAACAATTTTATTATGAGAGACCAAAAGCATTTGCTGTCATTTCGCACAAGCATTTAATCAATTGAACCAATTTCATTTTATGAAAGGAGTGAATAACTAAGCTCTGAAACCACAAGGAATTATCGTCTAATGCCTCTGGTTAAATTGTACAATCAGGCTGCGCCTATTCATCAGTTTGTTAACAGGTTTAACCTCAGAAGAACTGATGAACCAGCTATCAAGTACCTGATAGACATATCGAGTTAGCAGCTAACGCAGAGAACGTGGCTTGTCATTTAGCTGGATAAAAAGTGGACAAAAAATCCTGCTACAATTGAATACTGATATTAATAAGTGTTAAATATAAGAGTAGATAAAGCTAAAAACATACAGGATCCATGTTGCATGCATTCTGTCTGCCATCACGTCTGCTCCGTATTTGGAGTGTAGCAGCAGCGTAGAGAAAACAACATGCTCACAACAGGTTGTGTGGCTTTTTTGTGGTCGATTTCCTGCTAATTTGGATACAATTCAGTGACCGTTGAGCCTCTATTATATAGGAAAAAGCATCAGGATATTACAGTTTTGGTTTTTGCATGTTTTCTTGTGTTTAATAAAGTAAACTATGTTCCTTTCTGCTGTGCTGTTACCCTCAGACAGAGTTAGCTGTTCAAAGTCCTGTTGGGGTCCACATGGATCAGGGATTGACCATCAGATTGTTCTGTGTTACTGATAAATCCATAACCAGGAAGTATTTCTCATCTACACAAACTGATATACAGACGGGAGTCAGCATATGGTGTTTTGTTTTGAAATTTACCAGATGACATGCATTTTTCGTGCTTGACATCCAGTCTAGAACGATCCTCTCTATTTAGATGGATGTGTGTTGGAAGCGTAGAGCAGCAAAAATAGACACTGCACCTATCATTAGCAGTGCTGTGCTCGATATGCTTCTGAGCCGGAGCTGTGATAGAGCTGATACGCATCCTATGTGCGATGCTGCATTGATTAGAATGGAAACCTATTTGCTGCGTGACATGCGACACTGACAGAATGCGCTCAATACGGACCCTGTATGTTTTAGGCTCTCCTGCTTCTAAATAGTCCTAAAATCAATCAGTTTAGTTTTACACCAAAATTAATATGTAGGAAACGACGTGAAGCCTTAAGAACATAATGTCTGGCTTTTGTTAAACGATATTCAAAGCAAGCAAGACTATCCCTAAAATCCCAGATCCTTAGCTTTTATGCATACTGTTCATGTGCGTTTATGACTTTGGCATGCGGAAACAAGTTGGGTTGAGTATTATGATAATAATTTTAATAATAATGACAACTGTAATAGTCATTACCAATACGCAAGTATCAGCCTTTGGTAATTGTATTAGTAAGTATCAGACTCGGTTATACTAATAATAGTACAAGTGTTACTAGTAATGGTAATAGCAGTGATAGTAGCATAGTACAGGTTCAAAGTAATGAGTAGTCGCAGTTGTAGGAGTATCAATATCAAATATATATAGTTCAAAAGTACTGGTAACTGGTCATATTATAAAAAAATCCTTTAAACAACCAAACTCCATGTTTATAACTACAAACACTTCCAAGTCTGGCTTTGCATCTGTGACACAGATTTATGTAACTTTAAAAGATGCTTTTATGTAAAAGCATCAGCAGCATATTTGAGGTCGAGCTCTTTGTGGTTATTGGCAGCCAGGGGAATGCAGCTGCGCGCAGAAAATGCTGAAGTTTAATCATTGGCAGATTTTAGTAACTGGTCTGCTCTTTAATTCTCCAAAATGAGAGTCACATCAGAGAGGCAGCAGGGAGGTGATAAATCCAGATACCCAGCCAACAATGATCATTATCAGAAATAGTGCTGAAAGAAAGTGAGTGATGGTTTACTTACAAACATAATCAGGGGATTGTGGGCCATCCTTTTTATCTTACAGCTGACTGGTTTCTATCTGCCTAGGATTTAATCACTTTCTTACATCCATTTGAATGACTAATTGATGGAGGAAACTTTTGCATTTTAGCAGCTTTCATTTTCAGTTCACCCTAGATCATTTTGTTCATCTACATTTGTGTAACTGCATCAAAATGTGACACCGACCAGCACAGATCTCTTCAGCGGGGTGTATCTACCTGATGTTACGCCTCATGTGTGCTGGTTTAGAGCTCCTCTTCTTGGTTCCTGTGAGAGTAGAGGGAGGGGAGGGGCTTTGGCTAGCCGGCCTGGACCGGGGTCTGGACGCAGCCTGGGAGGGAGGAGGGTGTGCTGGCGTCTCCCCCAAAGGTGAGGTAGATGGGGGAGGGGTGCACTGCCATGCAGCAGAGTCGCCTCCCTGAGCCTCATTCTCTGAGCTGAAGGGGGCGCTGTGGGACTGGTCTGTGTGACAAATACAGAAAGAGATTGTGTGTCAGGACTTTGAATAAGAAACAAACTAAATTTACTCAGTGCTCAGGAAAATATCAGTTTTATTCTACTTTCATAGATGAATAAAGCCCTGCCAACAGATGAGGCTGCTGAAACACGGGACCAAAATGTGGCCTCATGAACTTCCTCCAGCCGCCTGGTCTTTATAAAACCCTGTGTCATCCATGTAAAGCTGTGACGTCACCATCATTTTCAACACTCAGATGCCTTTTCAATACAAAAGCTTCGATCTGCATTACACTTCATGTACAATAGTACTGAAAAGTACAATCAACTGAAAGCTGCTGCACACAACGGAGGGAGAGAGAGAGCAGCAGCAGCAGTAGAGTCACACAGAAAGAGAGTACAGAGAGCGAGCCAATGCTGATGAAAACAAGGCAGTGAAACAAACATTTGGTGTTATCAATCAGTATATCAGATGTTCGAGATCATCAAATTTGGTTCAGGAGTTTGATGTTTTTTGAGTGCTTCATACAAACAAACAGTAAAAATGTACATATGAATTTAAAAGGCCAAGACATGAGCATTAATTCAACTCACCACTAAATCCCAACTATCACGTCCAGTGTCATTCGAAAAACAGTGTGTCACCTTACCATCTATAAAAGCTCTAAGCACTGAGTACATGCCAAGTCCTCAACCTCATTATTTAACTGTCTGTAAATAGGAAGACATAAATCAAATAAATGAATCATTACCTGAGGTGCACAATCCCAAGCCAAACATGCAGATCCTCCCTAACCTCATTTTCCCTGTATCGTCATGAACATATTACTTTTCCATTATGTCATGTTCACCGCTCAGTTCTGTGTTGGGAGATATCAGGCCATGTTCAAAAGGGTTTGCCAGAGGTGTGGATGAGACACTCCTCTGCGAAGACACCAGGAACAAGAACTTGGCAGAGTGCCTGAGGACGCAACTCCACCAAATATTTCAATTTAAACCCGTTTTAACTTTAAGAAAACTTCTTTGCAGTGCATGACTAATGGGTGAAACCACCATCTTTCTTAAATTTGGTCAGAGAGCCACTCACACCATTTACTGGTCAAGCTGAGGATCAGCAATTTTTGTGGGATAAAATATTTAATAGATGAAAAAACTATTAAAAATCACCATCTTCCCATTTCTGATGCAACCTTTGCACCCGCGAGAACTTGTTTTTTTTAACTGCAGCAGCCACCACTGCTTTTTCCTCTTCCTTTTGCATGAAACTTTATCTAAACAGGACTCATTTGAGCTGCTGTTATTAGCCAGAGACTTTCAGGATTCAAGTTTTAACATAGCAACACTTGCATAACAACAAGAGGAAGATTAATTTTGTTGGGAGTCGAGGAACACTTCAAAATACAACCATAAAACTTTACAATGAGGTATCATCATCTCAGCTGTTTGCACTTTTCTATTCTCTAATATTTTCTTCAACTCGTCTCTGTTTGTATGTTCTCTCTGTTTCATCTCCCCTCAATCTGCTTACATTTCACTTTCACCTTTTTTCTTCCTCTCCTTCTTCTCTCCTCCTCCTCTCTCAGTTGTTCTGGCAGAGACACACTGAACCAGATCTGAGGCTTACGTAAGAGCTGGATCATAAATATGGACGGCTTATGAAACACAAGAAAGGACACAAACTCTGACACACACACACACACACACACACACACACACACACACACACACACTTGCACATCAGTGCACATACGCATTTTTTCCAGAGGACAAGTGTTCAATAAGAGTATAAATCAACACACACACAAGCACACACACACACACACACACACACGTTTCTTCCAGCTGAGAATCTGCCTGGACAAACAAACCAGCTCACATACGATGTTTTATTTCATAACACACAAAGATGTGCAAACATGACATGTTCACAGCATGACGCCTGACAAACTCAAGTTTTAGTTTCCCACATGATGAGATTACATACACACACACACACACACACACACACACACACACACACACACACACACACACACCCTAACATAATGGAGCATGGAGGCTGGTGATGAGCTCACTGCCAGTTGAAAAACAACTTACATAAAACGCCCCTTCAGCCCATCTCCACGACAACAAACTTCTTGATGTAGCTGCTAATGACAGCAGCCTGTCTCTGTAGTTTGTACCTATGTAATACTGTATCTTATAGCGGTATCGAAACAGAACTGTGATGAATTTTGATCATATCAAGTTAGAAAAAAAGGTCACCATGTTTCTGTCATTTAAATCAGACTTGGAAACACGGGACCCTAATTGGTCCACCCACGCAGCATAGTTCTCGTACTGAAGTGGTGAATGGCCTTTACTTATGCTGTCTTTTTCCAGTCACCACTCTTTACACTGTGCACTACATTCATACAGAATAGAGGCTGTCATGTAAAGTGACCAAAGTAATCCCAGGCATATGGATTCACACACTGCTAATAGGGCTGGGCGATAAAACGATAACGATACATATCGTAAATTAATTTCCCTCAATATCAATATAAAACATGGTCAATATGCTTTTCAATAGTTTCAATAATGAAAAGGGGAGCTGCTCAAAGTCCACTTAGAACCAAGTCGCAAACAACTACGTAGTAGCAGGCAGCAGCTACACCCAACCATATCACTCTAACAGGTGAAGCCGACAGCGCTGTCTGTGAGAAAAGAAGAAAATAAGTGCTACCCCCGGCAGAAATGCAGATGAAGGCTCAACAGATGATGACATGTGGACAACACTGGCATTAAAACGTCAGTGGTGTGGAGGTATTTTGGTTTTCTTGACGTCAGACATAAAGCAGAGCACTGCAAATTATGTCAAGTACGTGTTCACGCAAAGTCGGGGAATACCTAAAATCTTTTTCACCACCTGAAGCAGCGCCACGCGCCAGAGCGCATGCAATGCAAAACGTTACAAACCCAGAGTGGTGTAAGGAGCCCATGGCGCCTGTGCAGCCGAAACATCAGGCCGCTTTCTTTAGCGCAACGCCCTGCCCTGGGTCAGTGTGCCAGTGTGTGGACCACACAACACCTTAGACAATTAAGCACTTGCTTAATTGTCTTATTCTGTTGTACTGAATTTGCCTGATTGGTCAGCGCAAAATGTTCCTTGGTGTGTTTCACAATGAGACCGGACTCGTGGGCTGAGACAAACCTCCTCTTGTGGATTATCATTTGATGTCTTACACACATCACAGCTGTCAGAGCATGAACACAGATCTGGCTGATACCCTAACTTTGACTGTTCGCACTATTATTTGAGTAAAATGTCTGTTAGTTAGTCTGTTAATTCTTTCATCTTTAAAACTTTGATCTGCTCAGTTCACAGTCAAATAACCGAAATAATGGAACCACAGGCTGTACTCGGAGTTTGAAGGCTCTCAGCAAGTCAGCTACACCCACACCATAGACTGTAGAAAGACTGTGTAAAGGGGCCATATTGGAAATGCTGACTCCAGCTAAATGACTCAAGCCTGTAGCATCTTGGCTCTCAGTTTCACCACACTCTTCTGTAAGTCAAGCTATCCACTGAGCTAATTATGCAAATCTTCCTCTAAATTAAAAGTGTCATTAAAATTCTAATGTACGATGACATCTCACTTGTGTTAAGATTATTGATAATTCAGGTAATGAAGTGGTCATTCTCGCTGTGTTTGAATGGTAGGATTTTTACAAACACATTGATTTTTGTTTAAAAGTTAGATAGCCTAAATTTAACATGGTGTTGAAATCAACTCTTTGGCTTTTGAAGCCAGCCTCTACTGGACACTCCAGGAACTGCAGTCTTCAACACCTGTCCATTGGCTTTATATCTTTTTAGAGACTGAAACTTGCCACTTGATCAATCCAGCACGCAGACACCTGACAACTTCATCCCTGTAACTTCTCAGAAAACTGTCAGCTCCTGTATTAAGAGTGTCTAGAGTAAATCTAGAACTTATTGTCCAATGGAAGTTATTTTAGTCCCCTGGCTGGACTTGAGCCTGCAACTACTTTAGAAAGTCTGAACAGCTTCTTCAGGCTACAACAGCCAGACAGGTCAATATTTCTTAAAAGTTAGACAATGAATCAGCCAAATGATAAGACACAATTCAAAGCAGACCATGAGTTTTCACTGGTTTTCACATGTGTGCAGAGTTGTTTGAGTTTCTGCTCACCAAGAAGAGACCCCCACTTCTGTTTCTTCCACAGACTTCAATCAAAAGAAAAAACAGGAAGCATAAAAAGGCAGTACTTCCTGCAAACTATAGGGTTTCTTTTCCAGGAATGAGCAGCAATGTTGTTTATCTGAAAGGTCAATGAAAAGCTTTCACCAGACTGGACACAGGTTTGATGATTCAGACAGAGATAAGAGCAGAAAAACAAGACCCTTTTTCAACACAAAGATGGACCAAAATAACATGCTCACTCCATGAACCCATCTTCCCCATGCTCTTCCCCCTGCTCCCGTCAAACCCTACATTACAAAACAGTTATATAACGATTCCTCAAATGCATACAGCCTAAACACCACACACACACGTACAGAGAGAGAGAGAGAGAGAGAGAGAGAGGACTCGGATCGGACACAACGGACACAGAGCAGGCAGACAGGGGAGGAAAGAGGGGAGGGGAGAGGCAGGAGATGAAAGAGGGGTCGCCATTTGAAGAGACTGAGAGAGATGCACTTTTGAGTCTGACGGAGTGTAGACACACACACACCCACACACAGTAAAAACATATATAGGGGACAGTTACAAACAAGCAACAAGCTTAGGGTCACGAGGACAACAAGTTAAGGAATTAGTCATGATGGGGGGGGCAAAGAAAGAGCGGCACATAGAGGGCAGACAAGAGAGGGCGACTGGCTGGGCATTATGAAATATGTTACCAAATCTGATTTTATAAGCTGTTAGGCATACCTTGTGCTGACATCCGGTGTGCCCCCCCCGATACTAATCTGTTTAGTTAATCTGAGGTGTTTAGCGCTGGATGAAAAAGAGTAAGGAATGTGTGGATTCTTTTTTTTATTTTTATTATTATTCATACTTAAATTTCAGTACGCAACATACTTTATTACATAAAAATATAAGTTCAGGTTTTGTTTAAAGAGCTGCTTATGAAATAGACTTAATAAAGAAGCAAGAGATACTGATTAACTTTGCAAGATCTATCAGACACTAGCTGCGTTTCCATTACATTTTTTCGCAAAATAAAAGCGATGTTTATCAAATTTCGACAAAGTACAATTGCGATTTGCGGGTGTTTCCATTGAATGGTGTTCAGTGCATAAGCGAGCCGTCTGCCTCTCGCGAGCCGTGTTTAAATGGCCGTTGCCTAGCAACGAGGTAAACTTCCTGCCCGTGCGACCTCGTATTCCTTAAGCCTTTTTGCACACCGACATGGACGAGACACAAAACATTTTTCGTTTTGGAGCAGCTATTTCTGTGACCATTACTGCTGTTGCCGCTGCTGTCATCAGAAGACGAAGGCAGCGGGTGATAATTCAAAGGCAAAGCCCGTATGTATGGGAGCGGACACGGATGAGCGATTTCTGGGAGAGGATCGTTAATGAGGAATTCACAGACGAATTGTGGATTCAAAACTTCAGAAAAATACAAATACAATTCAAAACTTCAGAAATAAGTCCGTCTCCTCCCCCGTCCACATATACCGTGCCATCTACGCTTGAAATGAACTGGTCACTTGACCCGCTACGTCACGTCCGGTGACAGAGAATTGCGAGAAAAGTGTTTCCATTACACTTTTGCGATATACTTCTATATCGACACTTCTGAAAAACCACCTCATGAGAGCGTAAAAACTTTTTAGCGATATTTGGGAGGTTTTTCGAAATGTAGGTGTTTCCATTACCAGTTTTCTATTGCGATATTTACGTTTTGCGCAAATCTATGGGTAATGGAAACGCAGCTAATAAGAGTGAAATGGATTAGAAAAACCTTTTAACATGGAGCCTGAAAGTTACCCAAAAATCCAACAACCAGTTTAGCATTTCAAATACACCTTATTTTTACATTTGAAAGGCTGAAGACTGATAGAAAACAAAAGGTAAAGGGAGGGAGTGAGGGGGTCATATGGCAGGGGCTGAAACTCTGAATGCTACGGCCCAAGCTTGAACCCCTGAACTAAACCAGCACCCAAACCAGACACTTTCATCTGTTAGAGACAAACTGAACTCCAGAAGTGGGAGCAGCTGAAAGTGGAGCATCACTGTCAGGCTGATTTGATGTTGTTTGGCTTGTTTTCACAGGAAATGATTAACTCTTGATGGTCTTCCAGCAGCAGAGCCACAATTTTGTCACATTCAAGAAAAGAGAGGAAAAGAGTTTAATCCATCCCAGTGAAAGAAGTTGCCTGGAGTCTGGGATTTCTGTGGGTATTTGAGTGTTTTGTTTTTGACAACTCAGACCAGCTCATTCATTCATCTAAAAATAAACCAACGGATTAATCAATCATGAAGCAACTTTTATGTGTTCAATTACAAAAGAAGACTAAACTGATTAGGCTGGAACCAAATGTGAGGTCAGACTTTTACATCACATTGCGGAGACTTTGGCATCAGCTGCAGCCCTTTATGTAACATTTGTCACCCTGAAAGCAAAATGGAATTCAGCCAATGGTTTGTTTCTCTTCCACTTCCTTAAAAGGAACTCCACTTAAAGAGAAATCAGATGAAAAAATGCTGCCAAACATGTTTCATAACCTCCAGATTGCACTCTTTCAGTTGTCTTCACCTTCATACCCTCTCACTCCTTCAGTAGTCTATTAATGAGACTTTCCAGGTGTTCACAGAATCACACCAAACTTAAAAAAAATACCCAGACGATGTCAGGATTACATTAGATAAGAGATCTGAATGTGAAGGAAAAATGGTGCATTCAGGAGCAGGCAGCAATGATTTTGTTTATCCTTCTGTTTGGAAATGTCAAGGTGAAGTAACCGACACAAATAAAGAGGTGCAAATTCACAGACCTGTGCACAAACATACACACAGACGCCTTTGGGAGAGCCTCACTGCATCATGACCAGACAGTAGGGACAAGTTACACAATACAATACATACACAAAAATGCACAAAATGCATTATATAACTAATGAATCACTGCCTGCTTTCCTCTGAGGATCTATGAAACCGGAAAAATGACTAAACTAACAAACACAAGTTTTGGGTTCTGCTAGAAATTAGAGAGTGACATAAGAACAGCAGGCCTAATTCAGGTAAAAGGTGAAGCATTTCTCTGCTATGACAGACACACTCACATACATTAAATTATATGTCATAACAACCACTTGCAGGGCTGGAGGGCGTCCTTAGATGGGAGAATATGGAAGTACAACAAGTGAACTACATTTAACATCCAACATGTCCTCTTCTGTCTACCTGGTGCTGCTGCTGCTTTTGAAAATATCAGTCTGACATCATTAAGTCAGGAAATCATATACAATACTGTTCTGTCTGAATAAACGGGACATTGGCATTAAGTGCAAAGGTTTGGCATGCAAACACACAGTGGGTGCTCCATAAACTGACATGTGCACTCAGACATGCACACACTAATGCAGTGTTGATCTGACACTGTCTCACCCTCATCCTGCCTCTAATACTACCTACAAAGGAGGTTCAGAGGTGGAGCAACTTTTTTCACACCTGTCCATTCTTCATCTGTGTGTTAACAGACAGATGAAGAACCTCACTGAGACTAAGTATAAATATAAAGTGCCTCAGTGTGTTTTGGAATCACAGCTAATAGCCAAACTCTCAGCTTTCCTGAAAAATATGCAGTCCTGAAACTTTTGGTTTGTTTGGCTGCAAACCTGCTGCCACAATCTTCACTATTATATGTTTGAACTCCATAAAAAAAAACACGTTGGCGGGACACATTCTTGGCTTTTCAAACTTTCTAAACTCATCCTTTCACCTGTCAAATCTTCAATTAAATGCTGCTCTTAATTCCATTTCAGCCTGCACACCTCGTTCAGGAACACTCTCAGGGGTCAGGGGTCATCTCTAGATCTGGTGAAGGACAGATTGTTGTTGTTGTGTCAGACTCAGACATGAGTTATGTTCTGTGCTGAAAAAAACAGATGATCAGGGGTATATCTGCACTTGAACCCTTTGCCCTCCATCACTTCTGACTCTGTGTAGAGAGGGTGAAATACCACCGTGTGTCTGGCTGAGAAGCTGAGTCATCATCTGCAAGTGTCACAGAGTCAACAGCACCCGCAGATACATTTCTAAGTCATTTGTTCTGTTGGACGCGCCCTGTGGTTGGAAGACCTGCTGCTCAGTAAAACACAGCACAATGTGTACCCAAGATATACGGAACTCCAAAGAATGTGAGGCCATCAGCAAATAAATGATGTTTGTGTATTTGTGTGTGTGTGTGTGTGTGTGTGTGTGTTCGCTTATTCTGTGCGTGTCTCGGGGGGGGTTGAAGCGGGGAAATGTCTGCTTAAACCACAAGGTTACATAACCACATCTACGTATATGTGAAGAGTTGCACTGCCCAAAAAAACATGACGCTGAAACACACAGTGTGTGTGTGACTAATTAGAGCAAAAACTGTGTCAGTGTTATAGAAAGAAGAGGAGACAGGAAAGGATCAAACACACTGAACTGAATCCTGAACCACCAAATGAAGAACTGTGTTCACCAAAGAAGGAAGGAAAACATCATGTTTAGCCTCCATTTCTCAGTGAAAACCATTTCAGCCTTCACAATGTCAATCCTCAAGTATACAAGACTCATTTTTGCTCTAAAGTTAACTTAGAAGTTAGTTAAACAGATTTGACAGAAAAAGTTTCATAGCAGCACTTAGTCAGTTTTTTTTGTGGATATCGGAGGCGGCTTTTAAAAGAAAAGAAACTTCCCTGGAACAGATGGGTGACTGTCTGCCCTCCAGCTCCAAATACTTGTAAAGATTATAATCTGTACAGTCATCCACCGACATTTTTCCTGGATGGCTCTGTTACTTATTCCAATGGACTGTGACGGAACTAAATGTTACTTTTCCTCTGCAATCTGTTTTTCTCAGCTGTGAGCCACAACCGAAATGTGCGGCAACTGTAGCCTGGAGTATTTGAAGATTGAACTGCTGTTAACGCTGAAGGTAACGATCGAAGTATCAAAACAGCTACTCGTTCAAGTTTCACAGTTAAAATGTTAAAATGTAACACGAGTATCAGAGAGAGGAATCCACGTGAAAGTGTCGTCAGGTGGTAGAGTCTGGTCACTTCTTGATCATGGTGACCTCCCTTGGACGAAATCAAAGTGTTCCTCGTTTGCATTACCCACAAGCACCATCACCTACTATCTCGCCAAAGCATGCATTTACTGTGTAAGCAAATGAATGAGATACAGATTTGATTATTGTTGCTACATTTCTTAACTCAAGAAAACTATAAACAGGAGGTAGAGCAATGAGCTCACTCTGCAACTTTGACCCTAATGTATGACGATTAGCTCGAGAAAATTCAGATCAGATGAATCGGTTTAATGTTACCTATTACAGTCTAAGTGTCATGATATGTGCTTTAGTGTGCCAGCAAATGTTAGAATACCCTACATCTACACAGTTTAGCTTTTTTGTCCTCAGAGAGCAGAGAAGTATTTGCACAACAGCATTCATGTTAAACCCTGTCAGAAGCCAACTTAGCTCTTTGTCCAAAACAATAACCACACAGAAAGTTTGTCTTTTTGCTAATCCTACGAAAATGTCAGCCAAATCATTCAGTAGTGAAAAAAAAAGTACTTTCTTTAAGCTAAAATTTCTTAAATTTTACCAGCAGAGTTTTAGCTGAATACCAAATATAGACCCAGCTTTTTTCACATAAAAATCTACCCAGATATAAGGAATCAGAACTCAGCCAAATAGTGCGACCAATCTAAATATAGTCTCATTTTTCTATGTAGGTCATGTCGAGGCATCAGTCCAATAGTGTGTTAATTTCAAAAATCAATTTCAAACTCCTTACAATGCCTTTAAGTGGGGTATCAAGTAGGGGTGGGAACTACCAGTGGCACCACGATACATATTATCACGATACTTGGGCCACAGTACAATATTATTGTGATTTTTAGCATTTTGCAATACAGTGAGTATTGCGATACAATATGTTGCGACTATAAGACTATAATATTTTCCAAATGTTTAGCTAATTTAGCATTTGTCTTTCATTTATGTTTGTCTTATTTACACTGTATTTTATTTTCATGTCACACATCTTGCAAACCTTATGTGTCAGGTCCATCTCATTTGTGCCCTGTTTTCATTCCTAACGTCTTTGCGTCTTTGTCCTTTGCTGCTATATTTGTTGTATTAACTTTCTCCTGCTCTATGGTGTCAAAGATCTGACTTCATATTAATAATTGATTTGAAAACATCAATACTTGGTCAATGAATAGGATATGTCACTAGACAAAATATTGCGATACTATGCTGTATTGATTTTTTCTCCCACCCCTAGAAGTCAGTCTCTCAGCTGACAGAAAATTGTTCTTTAAGCCGGCAAGTGTTAGGCCAATCAGAGAGCAAGAATCTGATTTACAGAGAAAAAGATAACCTGCTGTGAGAATAATTGATCACTCCAAAGGTTCAAAATCCTGTTAAAACTCTGAGGAAACAAACTATCGATCTGCTGCTGCTGCACAGACGTCAGTGCCTACCCAAGGACAGAATCTTTGCTGATCTTCTTCAGTCAGACTTTGTTTGATAAGCCTGAACAAGATTTATTTGCATCTGCAATTCATGAATTCTCCAAGTGCAACCTGGGAGATGCACAAATGCATATATAAACAGCCGCACAGGAAATATGAGGCCCTGAGTGCCTGACCTACATACCAGGTTCATTTTGTCACTCAGCCATACAGCAAACACAGAGCAGAGTTTAAACATACCAGACTGCTGAACCAAGGAGCCACTGTCTTCAGGTGTTTGTATGCTCTTAAACAAAGCCCATCTTTAACTGTCCTGCCCCTGCTCTCTGAGGCTCGCCCCTGTGACTCACAGAGCATAACAGTTAATATAAATGACATCACATAAACCAATCCAATCAGAGGACAGGAGCGGACGTTCTGTGTCTCACCTTCCGTCCTCCACTCTCTGTCTACGTAAAGAGATTACTGATGACGGCAGATATTTACTACTCCATGGTGGAGAATCCTCCACGTCACACACAAAGACAGAGAGGACACACTGGTTATCCAACAGACTGGGGATTCCAGGAAGTAGACAGGAAATAGAGGGACACAGAATTAACACTGACGGAGCACCAGACTGGGACATCTAATCATTTTGACAAAAGAGAGTTAAGCTGGACTTTACAGAGAGAAAAAAAGGATCAATTTTGTGTCCTCTCCACTCAGACCCAGAAAGGTTTCTATTCTCTAGTCGTTATTCAACATGTTTTTCGAAACATAAAAAGAATTGCGTAACTTCTGTCTTGAAAGGCCAGTGATGGGGCAGCTTTTGTAGGAAACCAAGAGTCTGCGGGAACACTGTCAGGTTTAAAATCAGAGTTCCTGATTAGGTAATCATTTCTAAATGACTGTTCCACCTCTGTTATTTCATAAGCATGGGCACACTTGATATAACATCGGGAATATGCGAAACAGCTGACAAATATGCTGAGAAAAGGGTTTAGTAACAACAGATTTCTGACCTCAGCAAGTCACGCAGCTCCGGATATAACGATTTTGGAAAGGAAACTCACAGTGTAGTCATGTTTAATATAGATTTGTGACTCCAGTTTTGTAGTTTCAATAAAAAAGAAAACAGGGCGTAACTCTGCTTAAATAAATGATAAAACTCTGACGGTAATCAGTATGAAAACACCGTTTCTACCAAAACTGAAAGCAATAAACAAACCTCAAATGTTTATCTATTATAAAAGGCTCTGATAAAGTTCGCTTTTGTGGCCTCCACCTCCAGCAGAAACTCACTTGTACAAAAATATGAAGGATGCTTAATATTATAGGCATTATAGTGATACTGGCAGATGAAAGTTGAAAAAAACTATCTGTGTTGACTGACTGAAAGTTCATGACAAAATGTTCAGCTGATGAGATGACAGATTAATTATTGAAGCAATGACAGCAAACAACTTCAAGATGTCAGCTGTGTCAAAGTACTCTGAAGTGCTGTAACAGACAGAAAAAAAACAACCATTTGCATATTTGCAAAGCACAGGGAATCTAAACAACATGTCTTTATCACAAGATCATGTATCTCAACAACAGCTGTATGGTAAAGCGCTTATCTTTAGATAGAACACGGTCTATCAGAATGAGGGTATATTCTAGTCCAGGAGAAGTGTACTTTTTTTTTTTTTTAATTACAAAAGGTTTGCTTGTGCTGGTAGCTTGATGAAGTCAGCATATCTAATCTCTGAGGAATTTCAATATCCTGCATCCCTAATAAACACTTTGAAGAAAAGCTTTTGTAAGGTTTTATATAAGGAGCATTTTTCAGTGTCAGAAGTAAAAAAAAAAAGCCTCAGTTTGGCTTGAAAGTCTAAATTTATTGATTACACCTTTAAAAAGGAAACATCTGACTCCTTCCTCTTTCTTCTGCTGTTTTTGGACCTGTTTCAGTCCATATTTTTGTCCTTCCTGTTTCTCATCCTTCTTCCTCCTCTTCTTACCACCTTCCACTTGTTACCACTCTTCCACTGCTCACTTTCCTTCCTAATCTATCTTTGCTTCTACCCGCTGAGACCTCCTCCTCCTCTTCCTCTTCCTCCACAACTATCTAGAAGTGCTTTTTTAAACCACCTCTTCAAACTTTTACTAGTCCTTTCCTTTCACATAATGGTTTTCTCTCTTATTTTCCTCAGGTCTAATACGTCCCACTTTTACCTGTTTTTCCTCCACCTTTTTTTTCTCCCAGGTGCATGTTTGAGCACGCTCATCGGCCAGTGTGTCCCATTTCTTACATAATCTTCTTCTCTGGATGTTCAGTTATAAAACAGAGAATAGCGTCTCAGAGGGCAGAGAGACCTTGAGACATCCAGTATACAGCCATCATTACGAGGTGTAATTTCATCTGTCTGACGATTCAGTGCTTACTGGCAGTTTCAGACCTTCTTTATAACAGTGCATGCTCTTTGGCCAAGAAGGGTCGCTGTTCATGTTTTTTTTTTCTTTGGTCTTAAAAAAAAATTCAGGTTACTTTCAAAAAGAGTGAAAGTTATTGTATGATGGAGAAACTGACATTGATGGGACATGTCACTAATCTACTAAATTAATAAGTGAAAATATGTATAAAAAAGTACTTTAAAAAACTTTTTTGCTATTAAACTTTGTGAAACTCAAGACAGTAAGTCCACTTATTCAAAAAAAAAGATCAGAAAATCAAATTTAAAAAATGAGTGAGTGCCCACATAAAAGTAGTAGTAATAAAGTTTAAATAAAGCTGAATAGCAGTAGTGCACGATTTAACATGATACTTCCAATTCAACACAGTCAGCTGCTTCTTTCAAAAATCCAAGAGAAAAAATGAGGTAATGACGCAAAAGCATCTTTGCAAACTGTAATAAAAAACACTGAACCACGAAACGTCAATCCTGATTTTATCTGACAGTCAGCAACCAGCCTCTTTCCATTCACTTGAGTTGTTGGAGTTAAGACGTCAAAAGAGGTCAGACTGTTAATGAAGAGAGAGCGAGGACCCTTCATGGCTTAAGGTGGAGGTGTTAATGAGGTCAGTAGGTTGTGCTAACAGCCCAGGCCAATAAGAGACACAAGAAAACTTCACATTTTCTTTTTTGGGACACACTCAGATGTGCCAGAAGAGTCTGCTGCAGACAATGAGATGACCTGCTTTAGACACACACACACACACACACACACACACACACACACACACACACACACACACACACACACACACACACACACACACACACACACTCAGCTGTACTCAGACAGAGTTGCTCTCTAACAGACAGACAGGCCACCGACGCTGAGGCTGGTCAGACAAGGGGGGACGCTTATGTAACGCCTGCCTCTGGCTGTTACACAACCAGCATGTTCACAAGAACCTCACGTCCTGTACGCACATACTAACACACTCACCCACACACGCACGCACGCACGCACGCTCACACTCCCACAAAAAGATGTACCATGTCACAGACTCACAGGAGCTGGCAGACCCAGACGAACACAGTGACATTTACAGAACTTCAGGACTTCCAGACTCAGATCCTCACAGACATGCAGAGGTTCATATACAGTGATGAGTCTGTGTGCCTGTGAAAGTAACAACATGTGTGGGTGACAGTGTGTGTGTGTGCTGTTGATGTCAGGATTTTCCACCTCACTCCTGCTGTTCAGTAAAGCTTACTGAGGTCTTTTTCCTTTTCATCTTTTTGATGAAGGGCAGCTACAGGAAAACCATCCTGAATGATTTCAGCTGATTAAGAACAAAGACTCAAAGACAACGTTACACTGCTTGTTTTCACTGACAACCAGTCCCAGCCCGTGACGATGCTGTTTCAAATTACATAACAGTGACCAAACCAGCCAATTCTCACTCTGAAAAAGCTAAAAAAAAAAAAAAATTCTGCATGTGTTTGACCTTTTCACTCTATCATCAACTTTCTGAAAAGCGTCCAAACCCTTGGTTGAGTAATGATTTCAGCAGCAGTTTGGATAACCTGAATCAGCTTCAGAGCACGACATAAATTAACAGTTCATGTGCAGACAACATTGTTATGATGCTGAGTATGAAAAGAAGCTGTGTGTTCAAAGGATCAGTCAGAGAAAAGAAAGCCACTGAGAAACAAGGACAAACATTTCACTGAGAGCATTTCACCTAAAATAGAAGTTCCTCTGGTCTCTCCACAGTTTCTGTACACCAGCTGGGGACTGTGGTTTAGTGTATACTTCTGTGTTGACTCTATATTGTAGCTACACTGTGGCTGTTAAGAGCACTACATGCTTGTGCACTAAGTTTCTGTGTGGCTCTGTGATACTCAGGCCTCTGAGAGGTCTTATCGTGGCCTCTGAACTGTATGACATTATAAAGTTGGAGCTGACACATGATCAGCAGCAGTTTATCATAGAGCAATTATTGGGACATTTTTGAGGAGGTGCATACTAGGCTATGTGTGTAGGCTTCTTTATCGTGAACTTGCAGTTTTCCTATGGCCTAGACTGGGTGCAGAAGTACATATAAGCTTTATTGGGCTGTGAATGTCCTATAAGATAGCTGGAGATAACACAACTTCAACAGTTAGGACCTAAATGAGGATACAAAGGCACAGATCAGGGCTGCACCATTTTGGCCATTTTCTCTGAAAACTTGATTTTCAATTTCAATTTTTTTCATTCAGTGACACTTTAAAAATAGAAAGTTTTGTAGTTCATATGCCAAGCCAGACAGTGAGATGTATCACTGCCAAGGAAATGCACAAAAGGCAGAAGAAGAGTACAGATCATGCGTATAAAGGTTGTTTGGCCGGACATGCACAGGCGCCATAAATAGTTGCTATGTGTTGCTGTGTGTCACACGGTCGTTTCAAGAGATATGGATAGGCATCCAAACAGAGATGAAATATTAGTCTTTATACACAGATTTATACACTCTCTGACCCGTTTTTACCATTTACAGTCACCAAAAACACTGTTTCCGTGTGGATGAAATGCCAATACAACAAAAACTTTTGCGTTTATTCCTGAATTTATTTCCATGTGGACTGGTTGATACAGCCTTCAGACAGACTTTACAGCGGGGAGTGGTTTGCTCTTCATCTGAAACTGTGAAGTCATACCAATTCCACACGACTGACTTGTTCTTGCCCTATTTAGCCACAAAATTATCGCCTTCTTTTGCAAACGCCATGTTTGTTTACACTGGTGTGTGTGGTAACTGGGGAGCACTCTCGCAGGAAGGGGGAGCCTATGTTGGCCCGAAGGCACAAGACATGATAGAGAGGAAAATTAATTTGATGATTTCAATTTTTTTAAATAGTTATAATCAAATAATCTGATTACGATTTAAAATCAATTAATCGTGCAGCCCTGATACAGATCGTAAGTAATGTTTTTTAAATAGCCCGCTAACAAGCAGTGAAACTGGACTGGACTAATAAAACATGTCTGCTTAACTTTTCCAGTGTTTCTTCAAGCTGCAGTTAAGAACCACACAGGCTGGACTTACTCCTTAGCTGACATAAACCTACCATTTTAAAAGCTTGCTTCCAATCATAAACAAAATAAGGCCATGTGAAACGTAAAATACATGGAAAGCCCTTGGCAGAAGTAAAAAGAAGACACACCTGTGGGAAAACTAGACTCAAGTTGAATTTACTGAATTTCACTTCCACACCTTTACGTTTCTTCTTGGCACAATGTCTGCTAAGGTGAACTGAGGAGAAACATCACAAGGATCCGACACAGAGACCCAAACCACAAGCTGGAGAGAAAAAAGAAAAGCCATAACCGAAGAAGAAATACTTGTGGAGAAACAGTTGTTTCCTTTCCAAGACAAACCAAGATTTAACTTGGTTACATAACCCGCCTTGAGAAGACAAAATCACAAAGATTAATGCAGCATACACACATACACACACAAACTGACATGAACACACACACACACACCTCTCTTATATAACTGACTGGCCTGAATGAGTTATTAAGGCGGCTTTATTAGAGTGAGGCAGGTGAGTTATGAAACCCTCCCTCAGAGCCATGGTGAAGCAGCAAGAGGAGAAGATGGCAATACAAAAAAAACAACAGAGAGAAAGAGAAAGAAGGGCTAGAGACCATGCATGTATGAGAAAAACTGAGAGAGAAAGAGAGAAAGCAGCAGAGGGGTGAGGCGAGGTGGAACACTCTGTTTGTAGGCCAGTGTGTCACTGCTGCAGAGGGAGGAAGAGGAGGGAGGAGGAGAGAAAGGAGAGTGCACACACACACACACACACACACACACACACACACACACACACACACACACACACACACACACACACACACACACACACACACATCTGGATGCTGAAAACTCACCTACACACAACCACACAACCAAATCTGAATCAGAGAAGCACTAAACTGCATTTGTTTCGGGTAGAATCATTTGGCTGTTGCACAAACTGTGGTTTTAATCTGAGAAAATGCCACAAAGAGTTAAAACCATAAATTGATTCAACTAAAATGATGAATAACTCTTGTCTTTAAGACCCACTGCAATAAAAAACATGTTTTTCTTGTTGTCAACATGTTTAATGACATTTGTCTGATGTTACAGGACATATGAGAAAAATACTCAGAAATTGCATTTCTGAGTATTTGTGAAGAGGAGTGTGCAGAGCAGCGCTGTCTCCGCCCATGACTCAGAGGCGAATTGCTAATGAGCTACTGGAGCTCTGCAGAAGAAAATCTTTGGAAATGACACAGGTAACGTGATTTTAGCTAAAAGCTTCATAATCACAACTTAAAGACCGCTGAGAACACTTTAAGTAGAAAAAAAAAACTATCAGGGTGGGACTTGAAGCTGGTTGGACTTTGTGTTTTGCAGGGATACTTTTGCACCCAATGAGATTTACTTTTACTACAGGAGGAAAAATTAAGAACTCACCGTCACCTCAGTTATCTCAACAGAGATGGGATTGATTAGCCTAGAAAAAACTATCAACTACAAAGTCAGTTTTAATCATTCTTGAAGGAAAAACAAAAGGTCTAAAATTTCCACCTTAGACTTAGTGAGCAGGAATGTCAAAAATTGTATCAGAACCAAAACTAGAGCACAAGTTTTTTGCATGTTCCTGAGTTGAAGTTCTGAGTCACAATCAAATAAAGCTCTTCTGGCGCAAGCGAAACACATGTGTACCTTTTAAATGGCAAAGACATCGTAGCACAGCCAGAAAAGGAACAACTGAATACATGACTGTTTTGCAAGAGTCTAAAAGCTGCAAAAGACTAACTGTGCATGGGTGTGGTGTATCTTTTAAATGGGTAGTGTTGCAGTTGATAATATCTAACCAACGTGTGCATTTATACTCAGTTGAGTAAATGACTGTCACCAGCCTTAAGGCACAGCATGCTCCATTAAACTTCATATATGAAAGTGCAGGGTTATTCATCTGGAAAACCTTGGCACCACTTTTTCTTTTTTGGCTTGAACTAAAGTTTATCGTAAGATAAACTGCTCAACATTCAGGTCCACTAAACAACTGGCATGCATGTCAGCTTCTCTGCAAAGTATCACTCTATCCCGCCTTAACTTAGGATAACTTAACACAATGATTTAAGCATTTAATACAATACACAAACTTTATTGATCTCCAAAAGGAAATTCAATTCTTGATCATTTAATCATTAGCATGCAGTATAACTGAGTATTATTCAGCCGTGTGTCATCATCAGAAAGATACAATGTAACCCTAGCACTATGCCAGGAAGTCACATGAAGTGAAACAGCATGTGGTGAGTTACATATTAAAGCTTTAATTTCAAATATTAAACCACTCACGGGATCACAAAGAACTGAGTGAGTTTCTAATCAGGTTTTACTCAAACAAAGGCTCCACAGACTTGGTGATAAAGGTACTGGTTTTAATTGGGTTTGGTTGTAATGTGAAATAATGTGCGTGGTTCTAGACTGGACACTGCTCTCATGATGGTGACTCTCTGGTCACAAGAGCAATGCAACATACGTAACTCTATGTAGCACAAAAGCTCTGCCCTATGAACATATGGATCCAGAGCAGGAATGCCCTGAATGTTTTTTTGTGTCTTTTTTAGTCAGCTAAATCAAGGATTTCATACTTCAGTACTCAATAATATCCAAAAAAGGAAATTCACATCAAAGGGAAACAAAGACAGTGGCTTCAGATTGGGGGAATCAGAGTGCACATTGAAAGTGGAAAATGGCTGAACCAGTGAAGCCTGCATCCTCCATCTACTGCTACATACATGTGGCCCTTGCTCTGAAGAAAGACCTTTGTGCTGGGTCAGAGTTGGACAGGTTGTTCCTGACAGGTGTGCCAGGACTGATAACAATCATGTAGTATGTACAGTGTGCCCTACAAATACAAGGATCAGTGCAATTAAGTCCTTCCTGTTTCATTGAATCAAAGGAGTGCTGCTGCTGCTGCTGTAACACTGACTCACTTTTTTTCTGCTCACAATAACTACTTCATCACTCGTTGGACAGACTGTACTCACGGGAAGATGTGTGAAATAAAAGCACACACACACACACACACACACACACACACACAACCGGCACAATAGAAGGGAGGGAGAACAGTGTGTTCTTCTAGCCCTTTAACTATCTACATGCCATGTTTGCAGCAATGACAAGGCGTCTAGTGTCTCTTTTTACAGCAAGCCAAACACAGAGAACAATCCTAAGAATCACAAGCATGTAGACATTAGTTAAGTGTTCATAGAGGATCCCTGTGAATGCTTCCCTGAATAAAAGTACACACAGTGAGAGGCAGAGGCAGCGGAACATTGTGCACCCCGAGCAAAACCAGATCAAATGAGGACATGTTTTTACACTGAAAAAAAAAACCCTTTGAATCCTCGACTGATCGGTTCAGAGTTGCTGAACAATAAAAAGTTGACCTGATTTGACTTGTTTTTCTTGGAGGTCTGCAAGTAATCATTTTTCCTGTTATATTTCTTATACAAAGCTGAATGAATTTAAACACTTAAGCAGACTGAAGAGGACAATAACTTCCTCCATGAAAGTATAACGCAATACAGAATATTACTAAATGTAGCAGTGCAGATTGGATCTGAAACATAAACTCAAACATAAACTGTTATTGTTGATTTATGGCTTACATCTGGGAGTGTTCAGACCTATACTTGGAGTGCACTGCAGGTCATTTAAGGTAAAGAAACAGAAAACGCATTCTATACATTCTAGAAAGGCAAACATTGAGCATGTTAAGTCTAACTTTGGCTATATTCATATATCTAATGGCGGGTTTTTACCCTCTGAAGGTAAAAAGTGAGCTATTTTGAGTTAGGACATTGAGTTCAAGCTAAATTGCACATTACCTTTGATGACCTGAAGTTGTAAGGATGAGTCTCCAGATGTCCTGATTAGACTGCTAGCTAAAAAGTAAGGTATTAAGCCCAAAAGATGCCTATTCAAACACTATTTTACTAGGCCCGCACTATAGATACACAACAAACACCACTGTCCTACCAGCAGCCCTTTAAAATAAGACACAATCTGCCAATTAATGTCGGCATGTTACACAGAACGAGTTTTTCTGAGTCAGTAAAATAAGGTATTAGATAAGTATCTTTCACTATATTCCTCACAGTAAATGTTACCACACGGACAGAGACGTGTCAAGGAAGTTCAGATAGCATGTGTTAATTAAGTCTTGCTGCTAACTCTCTTACGGTGGCACTAAAATTGCTTCTAACAAACGTGTAAAGGCATTAAATGAATGAAAAAAAGCGTCCTCACGGATTTTTGGGTCGCTCATCCAGACAAAGTACGGACTGCCGTGGCGCTCTGTCCCCGCCTGCCTCTTCGCCTCACGCGCTTAGCCCGCTAACCCACTGGTCTGATGAACCATATGTTTTTCTGTCTCCACATGCTCACACATCCAGCATGGCCAGAGCCTGCCCGCATTCTCCAATCACGCATCGGCATTGGTTTAGGTAACCCTAGAAACAGCCAATAGAAGCGCGGCTCGTGAGACAACAACACGAGGGAGGCAGCCGGGCACGCGCAGTGAGAAAACCGGCAGAGAGGCGAGAAAAGGTTGAAAACCTCATATATATATATATATATGGGTCAGGGAATTTCGATTTCGATTTCCTGTAGTTAAAGAAACGAGGAAGAGTTCGCTGTGAACAAAAAAAAAAAGAAACGAGGAGAGTAAAGACCGTGCAGGCTGCGGTTGTTACGGACCCGTGTTACACAACAACCTTAAGTAACTAAGTATGCATTCATCAACCCCTGACACATAGTTTCAGACAATTCTAACAACGTTTTCCTTCCTTCTGGTCTTCATGAGCCAATTTTCACCTCCTGATCTCCTCTTCAACGACCAATGAACGCTTTTATAAGTCGGGATGATGCGGACAAACTAGGCTTTTATCCCGAGAGCCTCTGCAGAGTAGCTACCCCTCTAAACATCACCCGTAGACTATTTTCAGTGCATCTTTAACCTTTTCTTGTAGTTTTGTCACTTTTAAAATCTCCACATCTTTACTTTTTGTACGAAAGCTTGCTCACCCTTTTCTTGATATAAGGGATTCACCTCAGTCCATTTTGCTAGTGGACAACTGTGAAGATGTCACCTACCTGCAAAAGACTCTGATTCGTCCAGGAGAAGCATGGTTATCTAAGACAAGAGAAGAAGAAGAAGAAGAAGAAAAAGAAGAGCTGGTCTTCTCTGCTGTCCTCTGTCCTTTCCCCTACTTTCTCCTGTTCTCAAACTTCCTAACTCTTAAAGCCCCCTCTTCCTACAGAGAGAGATCTGTAAAAAAAAAAAAAAAAGAGTAAAAAGGAGTTTTTTTTCTCCTCCTTGCAGCCTTGTTTTTCACTCGGCTGCTCTTTAGTCTATTGCCTCAGTGACTGACTGACTCACTCACTGACAACTGGATGACCGCTCTGTGTGCTCCTCTCTAGTCAAAAGCAGTGTGAGTGTGAGGCAAAGGCAGAGCAGGAGAGCTGGCAGCTAAAAAACTTACATAACACTTCATGCTGGAGCTGGGGCCCTGCTGAGGGGGGACTCCTACAGCCAACTGTCTCTCACTCCTCCCTCTTACAAAAAAGGCACTCCATCACACACTCGGGACTGCATGTACAGAGCATGTTCGGAAGCAGTCGCCCACACTGTCATACTGCCTGTTGGTGTTTTATGGTAATTAAAAAAAGGGGGCAATCTGCTCTAAACATCTCAGGATTTTGCTGATAAATAGGAAACTGTCCAAAAACGTCATTCAACACAGATATGCAAAAACAAAGTACACACCACATGCCAAATTACAACTTTAAATACTAGAATGAGGTCGTAATTCAAGCTTGGTTTGATAACACACCTATCATTTAGCCTCAGGCGTAATTACATAATCACTTTTGTGTGTCACTTAAGTTTTCTATTGGCAGTTTTACACACAAACGTATGTTTTTTGTGTGCAGTCATCTGATTGGCATTGAGTAACATGGCAGCTACACCCCCCCCCCCCCCACACACACACACACACACACACACACACATACCTCACAATGATAAACAAGTATAATTTTTATAATTTTTTTATAACTTTTTTTTCTGTATTCCCTCATTCACTCGCAGCAAACACATTAAAGTCATGTCAAATGTATTGAGAGCTATTTGGAACCCATTTGCATGCATTCAACAAATTTATAAATTAGTTTCAGCAAAATTTCAGTACTATGAATTTTTCATCACCATAGGCTAAATGTACAAAATGACAAGGACTTAGTTTTTTGCATGTAATTGAGAAAAATTGGAGGAATGTTACATTTTTTTCACACACATTTACATGACTCACTTATCTATTCTCAGAGGAGAAGGATGTTGAAGTATTGCAAATATGCAAGTCTCTAAAGTGTGTTGAGACTGGATAAGAGTATGGTGGTGTTTTTTTCCATGTAACATACTGAAGATACAGACTATTAATGCTGCTAAATTTAACATTATCCTCTGGAATTTCTTACTGTTTAAATTTGACATATAATAAGAAGGATCTACAGGTACTAGCTTCTCTATGAACATCCAAACAAGTGACCTAGGGGTGAACTGGCACTTGTTCCCCTACGCTTGGACATGAGTGTGGAACACTTTGAAGTATGCACCTGCTTTTAAGCCTTTAAGTTAACTTGATCTAGAGGTCCCCTAATTTCACAGGTTATAACAGGTTATATCTGACTTTCTTTTAGAATAGGTTCTTACAGGTATCCTGTATCATGTAAAACGCATTTCAAATGTGGAAAATCCAGGGTTCCGGATTAATTCTGAAGAATTACACCCCTGATTTTATTTTTTCTGCAAGCAATTAATGATCCTTTTTGTTTTAACTCACTAGAAATCATGACTGCAGTGAAATGAACAAGTTCCAGGTGCTTTCCAGGTTCTGTCCAGGCTTGCCCCAGAAAAAAAAAAAAAAATCACAGTTCCTTGGGACTGGAAGTGAGCTGTGCGTACAATAGAGTGGAAATGAGACCAAATTCACTGTGTAAGTGTAGACTTTTCCCTGAATGAAAGGTCCCTAAAAAATAAAAGAATAGGACAATGGATGGTGTAGGAAACTGGGGAGAGACACGGGGATGATATGGGGCAAAAAGCAGTGGTCAGATTTAACCTTGACCACTGGCTCTTGAGATCGTAACCTCTGACAAGGGGCCTGTGATTGAACCTCTTAGCTAAACTGGAGCGTGGAGCCCCAAGTATGTCAAATCCTTTAATCCATGCTTACTTCGAAATGTAGAGTCATGAGAAAAAAATGAACCTTTGCACAAGTATGCTTATACATGACAGAGCAGCAGACCCTTTGACCCAGACAGTAGAGCAATGTTTGCATGTGAACAGTACAGGACTCAGAGAGAAATTGGAGTCATAGTCAAGTTCCCAAAAATATCTACATACAAAGCAAAGTAACATTATGATCAAAACAGTGTCCTTCTTTAAGGCCACATAACCCATGGTAATCCTAGCATATACAAGAAGATAAACAAGATATAACTGAGCTAACACTGTAAAGCTCATTTACACCAAACTTTAACTTGAATCTAGAGCGGCAAATACTCAGTTTCACCAGAAAACATGTATTGTAATGTATTGTTGTTCTCTTTTGGTTGATTGATAACGGATGCCTTCTAAAGATCAAACATCCTCAGCCTATGCAATTGTCTTGTCACTCCACTCCAGCTATACATTCCATTCACAAAATGTATCAGCCTGTCTTTCTGAAATTTTCTGCACCCTACTGTAGATGTTATTCTTGAAAAGACGAGAAAGCAGTTTTTTGTTCTGTGTGTGTGTATGCACAGCAATAGTACTGCAGAACTTAAGCAACTTTATCCATATTTAAAGACTGAAGTGGGAGAGAGACATATTTGTCTGAGCTTTAGAGTTCATTAAAGTAAATTGTTTTTTTTCTCACATATTCGTAGAGCAATTATGGCAACCAATCCTTGACAGGCAGCAACTTTTTATCGCTAGAAATTTTTCTGCTCAAACACTTCTGTGGGTAATCGTTGTTCTTTCAAACAGATCTCAAAAGAAAAGCTAATGTTTTATGAAAGAAGTTTTACATAGAGGTCCTTGAGAACCCCAACAAGGATACTTTTTTTTGGCACAAGGACAACTCCTGCATCTATTTCATAACATGCCTTATGAAACCTCTGAGCTCTACTCAGCCTGAGTGGCCCGGACACAGACTTGGCACTGCACCACATCTAGGTCAGTGTTATAGAAACCCCCTCCAGCCTGAATATTTCAGCATATACAGATAAGTAGACATGCAGCAGAAAAGCTATGGACTGATACTGACACAAGGAAAAAGAGAGGCTAATGTGAAAAGTACAGCAGCCAGAAAAGCTCTGACACCACAGCCATGAGTCAAACAGTTTTAAGTTACTCACCCATGTCATGTGGTTGAAAGTTTTTTCTCTCTTACTCTGGTGAGAGATCCATGTTGTCTTGACACTTTCACTCTTAGAAACTCCCTCCAGCTGTTGAGTGTTCCTCCCTAATTCCACTTACACACTTTCCCAGTGTCCTGTCTGACCAGAGCGCGTCAACGTGTGTGAGACACTCTCAACATCACGCTCTGGTCTGCTCTCGCAGCTTTACCGGTGCTCCAGTGAGGACAGAAGGCCATTGGGACAATTACAAAACAATGGGTCGCTGAAAGCTCCCCCTGCCTGTCGTTTGCAGGAAATCCCCTGCTTGTGCTGCCCTTCCTGTCTCCCTCTCTCCTTTTCTCCCATCCCCCAGCCAACTGACATAGGAGTGTGTGATGTCAGCAAGCCACGCCCCATCCAGCAAGGCTGACTTAGGTAACAAGGGTAATGAGGTTCAGTTATTGAAAATATAGAATGACAAGGGGGAAAGAGAAAGAGGAATAGGGGTTAAAAAAAAATCAAAGAAGAGAAGGGGGATAAGTGCAGGGGTGTACACTGGTTGTTAGATTTTTCTGGCCTATTTATTTATTGTCATCTCACTGGCAGCTTATAAAAAGCATGACTGTCTTTTAGACAATAAGTTTCTTTCTGGATAAGGATAAAAATGCACCTTAAGACAGTCTGTATGAGTGGAGTCTGCAAATACTTGAAAAGATTATGGACAGGACACTGAAAAACTAAGTGATTCAAAAAAGAAAAGTCTCAAACTGTATGATTTTTGTAAACTCTTTCACAACTTTGAATTATAGATTAACAAAATAAGCTCAAAACAAACTTTTTTTTTGTAATGTCCTGTGTGTAGTCGACACACATTCACGCTAAAATTATATCCATGAATTACATGGATGACATTGAAAAATAAGAGCTTTTCTTGAAAGATTTGTTGATTTGGTAAGTCTTCTATAATTGTGCCAAGAAGTAAATCTGGCAAATGTATTTGGATAATTAATGAAAGCTTTAACAAAAACTGTAGTTAAAAAAAAAAGTAAAACAAAATCCAGAAAATGAAGAGTAAAAGCAGAAAAGGATAAAAAATAAGTGGGTTAAAGGAGCAGAGATAAAGTCATGTTCTGCTACTCCTTTCTGGTCAGCGCACAAGTTGGAAAATTCTAGTTTGGCATTATGGGACGATATCACACATCGTAAAGGCAATAAACACATCATAAACACCTAGAATGACACAGACAGTAAATTTACCAACACGTTACTGTGAAACCATTAAAGTCAAGGATGGCAAGATGGAAAACAGAAGAAATTTGCTGCAAATACCAGAGAAATTGCAAAACCAAAACTGTGTGATATATTTAACAGGGTAAGAAAGAAAAAGAGCAGCGTGGAGTTAGGAGGCTTGAAAAGTCCAATAAAATAGAATGAAAGGCCTAAAAACTTTGAGGGATGAGGAAAGGAAAAAAATGCTGAGGAGGTGGATGAAAAGAATAGAGTGCAAAGCAAGAGTCAAAAACATGAAAATGTGACGTCAGGTATTAGGTGACAATAAAGTTGGAGGCTGTTTCAAAACAAGCCTGTGAACCTGACGACCCTTTTAAACCCATGTCGATGGTGAGGGATTATCCTACACACTCACACACAAGTAAGCATGAAGGTAAGATGCCTTGTCTCACATGGCTACACACACTAACCCACATTACTAAAGAGGCTGGGGGAGGGGCAGCAGAGAGAGTGAGGGATGAAGGTGGGGGAGGAGACAGGAGGAGGCGGTGACAGCAGCAGTGTGAAGAGGAGGACCGGCTGGCAACACACTGTCAATCTGACACACACAGATATACACATTCACCTTTGCCATACTACCATACTTCTGGTGTCAAACCACGCCTCCTCCTGTGAGGAAGGAAAGCTCACATTTCAGTGTTTACATAACCCACAGCGACCAATGAGAGAAAGAGACAGGGAGCGGTGGTTGAGAATTTTTGTGCACTGCTTTGCCAGAGGTTGCAAAAGAAAAACAGACCTCTCTATACTAGTGTTACACTTGAAAAAGGTCAACAAACAAAGTCAATTTGATCAAGTTAAAGGAAGTTTATATCTTACAATGATGAATTGGGGTTTAAAGATTTAGTATTACAAGCTTAAAGATTAAGCCATCTGAAGTGGTTACTGAGTTTTACATTAAAGTGCAAGTGCATCAGTCCTCAGACACCTGGAAACAATGAAACAAATAAGTTGAGTCCCTGAGTCGAAAGTTAAGATTCGCTTTCCTGAGATCTTCTGTTTACTCTGCATGCTGTGCTCCAACTTTCAATATTGAGAGACTCCAAAGTTGACCTTTTAAAAGAGTTACATGATGGCTTTAGGAGAAACGGCGACATGCTTAAATATGCAGAAACATCTTACACTTCACCACCTCAGGTATTCAATTTTGTGGACGTGATATTAAAGAAAAACACTTTCTAAATTCTCTCTGTTTTTGAGTTTTGAAGAAAGGTGATTGAGTAAAACGGCAGAGAGGATCTCACCTGATAAATTGACATGGCAAATTTATGCTAAGATGTTACCACTGGCCTTCATCAGAATGAGTATGGGGTTAAAACGACTGCTAGGATATTTTCATGAAATGGACTGAAATCCTCTGAAACAAGTGACAAGTTAAACAGTTTTTATATTGTAAATCTCAATGCCTAAACTGGTGCAAGGGATTTGATGTCAGAAGCAGACCTTTTTTTTTTTTACAATTTCCACATAAACATATACAAGGTCTGTCTAAATAGATCATATCCCCATTTGTTATATCCCTATTTATTTGATATAAAAGTTACAAGTTGCTGCTTTCCTTGGATCAGGCTGTGGTTGGTCAGGTTTAATCTGAGCAGCCATCAGCACATTTCAGTGCAATAAATAATCAACAACTAATAATCTGAGTCAGCACATACATTTAGATCTATATAGATATATTCTGATCTATATCTGATCTCATGAGCGCGTTTGGCACGCGTTTGGACACACAACCTGACCGAATTAACAAAGCTGAAACCGCATTAAATTAAATTAAATGTCTAGTAAATAGACACAAATCATGAAGTTAAAAAGATATGTAATTCATCTCCCTCCTTTTCTTTCTTCCTCTTATTTCTCACGCAGCTCGACCTGGACATGTCTCTGTGTCCTCTCCCCGTCCTGCTGCAGCTGCTGCACAGATGATTTGTTTCAGTGATCAGGTGAGTTATTTGTTTTAAACCTACATATGAATATTATAATATTCAGTTTTGTGAGCCAAATTTATTTTATATTCCAACATCTATAAAAGAAAGAGCCAGGCCACAGAGCGTGATGCGTCATTACGCACAGATGGTTCCGATTTTAATGCCATTTTTGGAATTTATGTTGTGATCTGTGCGCACAACCTACCTTTGTCACGTGAGGTTTGAATATAAGCAACTTTATGTGAGTGTATTTATTTGTGGAAAGAGTGTTTGTCTTACTAGTGGGTCCAAACTTTCACACACCAAATCCATCTGTGCTTATATGAGACTGTGAAGGCTGCCTCTGCAGTGTTTACAGCGACACTTGTTGAGGGGCTGCCTTCTGTCGCCATCGTGTGGCATTACTGTCTTCAGACATCTTTTGATTTCTTTGACTACTTCACGAAAATAGTAATACGCCTCGCTGGTGAGGAGAGGAGCTGATGTTATTGGTCAATACAGGTCTCGGCTGTGATCAACCCACACCACGCCCTCTCTCCTCCCTCGTTATGACTTACGCCGCTGAGAGGGGAATACTTAGGCCGGGCTGCGCCGCTCACCATAATACCAAATTGTGCTTGGGAACACCTTGTTGGCGCCGCGGACCTGACTAATGCCGCGCCTGCGGCACGTCTCTGGCGAGGCACGAAAATAGAGCCCATTATGTCAACTTCTGTAGAGACACAGTTATACCAACAAAAACTGTTCGCTGTTTCCCCAACAACAAACCCTGTATCACAAGAGACATAAAGCAATCCTTAACCAGAAAAAGAAAGCTTTTAAAGATAATAACAAAGAACTCAAACAAGTGCAACAAGAGTTGAAGAGGAGACTGAAGATGGCAAAGCTGGAGTACAAAAATAAGATAGAGAATAATCTACAACACAGCAACATCCGTGAAGCGTGGAGAGGAATCAGTACCACCTCTGGACACAGCAGTCAAAAGAAAAGACAGCCAGTGGTGGGTGATATGAAAAGAGCTGATGAACTCAACCTGTTGTTCAACAGATTTGACACTGCTGTCACTCCCAATTCCACTGCTACTCCACCTTCCGCTCCGCAACAAATCTCCACTATAACTTCTCCCTTTCTTCCTCCATCTTGTTCAAATGTCAGATATAGATCTAAATGTATGTGCTGACTCAGATTATTAGTTGTTGTTGATTATTAGTTGTTGTTGATTATTTAATGCACTGTAATGTGCTAATGGCTGCTGAAATGTGCCTGACACTGTGGAAACCTGCCAGTGAGGCATCGGTGACGTATGCCGATACGGCGCTGGTCTACCAAAATACCTCTGGACCAGCTGCGCTCCGCCTGTGCTGAAAGATGACCAGGTTTGAATCAGCGAGCTTTCAGCGCACTTTATACGCCACCGGCAAACACGAAAATGTCACTGCACCAGCTGATTCTTTCGACACCTTCCCCTGCCTCGCCAACACGCCCAGCTTGGTGGACCTCGGTGCGCCTCAGTCCACAAAAATACCAAACTGGCTTTTTGTCAGGCTCTGCCAGACAAAAATACAACTGTGCGAGGTCCGCCACCCTCCTCCGCCTCACCAGCTGACACGAAAATAGAGCCCAATCAGTAAAGCCGGCAACCTGTTTATCAATGTTCATACTATCCGCATCTGTTTCCAGCAGCAGATTCCAGTCTGCTGATTTAAAACAGTCCCTTAGAGCTTCACTGGCTTGAGGTGTCCATCTTCTGATTTTGACTTTGGTCACAGGCTGCCTCAGCACACAAGGTCTGTAACAGGTTTGCAGATAGACCAAGTTATGATCTGACTTGCCCAATGGTGGTAAGGCAGTGGCTCTGTAGGCTTCTTTGACGTTGGCATACAGCAGATCCAGGGTCTTGTTTTCTCTGGTAGGACAGTTCACAAACTGTGTGAATCCAGTCAGGTGAGAGGAGAGGGTGACATGGTTGAAGTCTCCCGATATTATTATTAGTGCCTCAGGGTGCAGAGTCTGTAGCCTGGCAACACTATTTTGCAAAACATCACAACATTCTTCAGTTGATTTGGGTGGAATGTAAGCAACTACTGTTATGATATGACTAAATTCTCTGGGAACATAATATGGCCGAAGAGCAACTGCCAACAGTTCAATATCTGGACAACACAACTTCTCCTTGACAGTTATGAGTGAAGGGTTACACCATCTCTGGTTGACAAATAAAGCCAGACCTCCTTCTGTCTTCTTGCCACTAGCTTGAGCACCTCTGTCTGACCTTATGAGAGTGAAGCCAGGTAGACCCACACTGGAGTCCGAGTTGTTTTGATTCAACCAGGTTTCATTAAAACACAGGAAACCACTTACGGTATGCTTTCTCAGCCTTCACCAAGATCTCCAGCTCATCGCTTTTTTTGGGCAGAGAGTTGACGTTTCCCATGATGATTGATGGGAGAAAGGGTTTAGATCGCCACCTCCTAGCATTCAGCTTTGCCTTAACCTTTGCACCAGCACGGCAACCATGATAACACCTCCTGATGTCCTCTGGAATTGTATGTTGTTGTCCAGATTTGCTTTTCCTTAATGAAAGGAGCTCTTGTCTTGAGTAAACTCTTCACCCAGCAGAAGCATCCAACAAAAATATGAAAAAAATCTAGCATAAATTACAAAAATTACAGATAATACAGAGAGACCAGACTTGCAGCAACCTCTCGGTTCAGGCACATCATTTTATTTATTAGTCTATTTTGCAACTTAAGGAGCAACCATATGATGCAGATCAAAACAAGTCAAATTTCCCCCTCAAGGATTGTTTGCAAAAAAATTAACCCATCATTTTCTTGAGCCCATAACGACCCTGGTTCATGTATAAGATGTTATCTTGAAAAAAGTCGTCCCTCTTATGGAAGGTGAGGGGATTGTCAATATATGGCATCAGGTCATGGTATGAGGTTTCACAATCGTATCAAAGATTAAAATTACAGAGTCTCAGATTTTATGCTTTCACATATTTTAATTCTGCACTAACACTAGCAGCTCATCTAAGTAATTCTGGGGAGTTTCTCGAACTTTGTGCATGTCTGGAGGTTGTCTGGAGGCTGAACTAAGTGTTGAGCTAATTTGTTGCTGAAGTTTGTATTGTTGATCTGGAACAGATTGTTTGCCATACTTGTATGCAGAGAGTCATTTATAAAGGTCTGCATTATTGTCACACCACTACTGATGGGCAGGAGTGACTGTGGGTCAGTAGTAGAGTTGGTCCTCTTCAATTTAAAAGAGTATGGTTTGATTCGGAGTCCTGATGTCCAGATACCAAAGTATAGTTGGGCAAGACACTCAAACCCAAACTGTAATTGATGGCAATGCCAGCAGTGTAATATAAGGAATAAGTAAAAACTAGGGAGTAGAACGATACATGCACACACAAAAAAATACTATAAAATATTACTTTTTAGTGAGAGGAAGCGACCTGTATTAACAACAGGTTAACATAGTAAAGCAAGGTTCAACCTTTTTTTAACCTTAAAGCGATGTCTCTTGACTCTATTTGTATATGTTCAGTTCATCCTAGTTGTAAGATGCAGGTAAACCAACAAACTGAACTTGATTCATTTGAAGACTAGTTTATTTGTATGGTATATTTAGAGTTTTTTCACAGAACATCAGATTTCTCAGCTGTAAATTTTGTTGAGGATTGAACTTAAATTTCCCAAACTCTGACCCTGACTTTGTTACGTACGTCAGCAGCACGGACTCCATAGTGAGTCCAAATGAGTCAACAAAATATGGTGAGTTCAGATCTGCAAACATATTTGAGCACCAAGACAGAGGGTGACTTATTCTAACTCATAATCAGGTTGACAAGGAGCCAGGTTGTTATCTGATATAAAGTCTGCACACACATACACACGAACTGGAACACACAGTCTGTTGTGTCAGTATGCAGACCAGCTGGTATTACTGTATCACCTCCTACTCTTCACTTTGTGCAGACCTAAATCAGGTCACATCACATCACGCACGCACGCACGCACGCACGCACGCACGCACACACACACAACAAAAAAGACAAGAATTCTGAATAAGCTGTTGATGTTTCAAAATACTGATTTCAGGTATATAAGACAATATAACGTAACCATGAAGCAATCCATTGCCCATCGGAAAAAAAAAAAAAATTTGGCTTGTTATCAACAAATTTTTTTTTTTTTTTTTTTTTAAATAATGTTATTAATTCCATCCTATTGAAAAATAAGAGTTTTTGGATATAAGCCGTATTCTGTATGGACTTAGACTCCTGAACGTTCCTGATATTAACCCCACATGTAAGAATGCAAATGTCAGAAACTGGTTGCCCCGGCATTATGCAGTAGCTTAGGAGGTAGAGGGGTTATCCAATAACTGGAAGGTTGGCAGTTCAATCTCTGCCCTATCCCTAGTCTGTCCGTTGTGTCCTTGGGCAAGACCATGGACTGTATATACTATGGACAACTTGGCTCCGCCTTCCGTCATTATATGAATTTGAAGCCGAATTGCTCTCGGTAGTCCCGGTATTTTCTCCACTTCCTGGAACCACCACTTGTGCAGTAGCATTGCACGCATTCGGCGGGAGGCTCGCTGTGATGACCCTTGGCTCAAACAGCAGATCCCCTGGGTGAGCTACGCAATCTTTGTACTCCAATAGGCTGTATCAAGTGTCAGTCATAGAAAACATGAGCCCCCTCATAACATTTAAAAAATGGAGCTGTATCAAAAAAAAAGAGGACTTGAGCACAAACCAGTCTAACAGTAACTAAATGTTAACATCACATACAGGAGGGGAGAAAATTTTATGTTCTGTGTAATTAATTTCTAAAATTTTTCCGCAGCTCCATAGGGATTGCTGGAGGAGGCGGGATTTATGACCTATGCTGCAGCCTGTCACCAGAGGGTGCTGTTCTTGGGATGGCTTCAACCAGCAAGGAGGCAGACGGCATCCATTCTATGTACAGTCTATGGGCAAGACTCTGAACCCACCTTGCTCCTGGTATGTGTCATCCACCGGTGTATGAATGTGTGTGTACTGTGGTGGTGGTCGGAGAGGCCATAGGTGCAAATAAGCAGCCACGTTTCCATCGGTCTGCCCCAGGGCAGCTGTGACTACTATGGTAGTTTACCACCATCCGGGTATGACTGTGTGAGCGAATGAATGATATATCCAATGTGAAGCGCTTTAAGGTCACTGATAAAAAAAAAAAGCCTTATAAAATCTGATGCATTATTTCCAGCCCCCCCTGTTAAAAGTGACATTAGGGGGAGCCCAGGTGTGAATGCAGCAGGTTTGGCAAAGTTTCTTAGACTGGGGGTTTGGAAGGATGATGACGCTAAGCTGTAATTACTTAAAAAGTACTGTAACAAAAGTTCAATATTTTCCATCAGTTTATAAATAAGAGAAGATTCAATATATTCTAGACTTAACCAGAAACTACAATAGTTCAAGCATTTTTCTGATTCAATTCTCAAAATTACGGCCGGTAGCCTAAAAGAAAAAGTTGAAGAATATCAGAATGTTTTATTTCCAGTTTCTTCACTGAGTTCAAGTGATTGCAAAGAATGCCACTGCTCACCTTAGCTGCTGGTTTCATGTAATTGACTGAAGTGTTGGAGGGGGAATTTCCTCATATTTGCTACTCTGACCCAAGTACCATCCCCACCAAACACCCAACGTCATTTTGATGTCTTTTTTTAGGCTAAATCATGTCAGCCCGACATGGCTGCAATTTAGCCCAAAAAAAGAAGACGTTGAAAACTGGGGTTCATTTAGAAGGTCCAAATCTAGACATTGTTCATACATATGGTGAAGACGTCTTTTCAAAGTCTTTTCAACCACTCTTTGCTGGGTTGGCCACCTTCACAAGAGGAGGTGTTGGTCTGTGTTTACATTCAACATTAGTACTTCGTTTCTTGACCTCCCACATACAGCAAACTCTTGTCAAACCCCTTTAAATTGAATGTCACTTCATGGATCATTAAAATTCTTCTTATCTCATCTTTAAATCTTAAGTTTTCATTAAAGCAGTTATCCTGAGTTTAGTTCCTAATATTGTTGGTTTAAAGTTGATTGGTTTGCCTTATGTATTTACATTAACCTTCAGGGGGTGCATCCTCATGTTCCACCAACCTAGATATGATGTAAGTGTACAGGTGATGTGTTTTGTTGCTGATTAAACCACCAGGTGTCTGTAACATTTGTGGGAGGAAACATGTTTACTTGTTTTTCTTCAGTTTGAACTTGAGAGAGTGAATGTGTACGCTGCTTACCAACGCCTCCACACAGGCTAATTAACAGACTATTACTCCCCTACTCTCTGAAGTCTGTTTGTGTGTGTGTGTGTGTGTGTGTGTGAGCGTGAGCGTGAGCGTGAGCGTATGTGTGTATCAGTGTGTGTACATATGTGCATTATGAAAGACGTGACTAAACCTAATGACAGCCTTATCTAAGCTGCAGGGAGCCAACAACATGCAGCACACACTCATTCTGTTCACACACGTACACATGCATACACACAAGCCTGACCTAGAACAGACATCCCAGCAGCCCCATGTCTCTGAAGAGAAAGGTTTTATTTTAGGGGACTGGTCCCTCCTCCCCAAGTCCATTTCTCAATGTCACATTTTGATAAATGGCTTTTCTCAGATATATTTCCTAGTTCTATACATGGAACAGGACAAGTGTTCTTTGTGTATTTTAAGTGGGTTTACGTAGTGGATACAGGTCTACACTGGTTGTTATTTGTTTCTTTCATTAGTCACAGAGATTGTGACTAACTAACAACCATGTTTCTTTTTGTGCCCAGAAAACTGGAGAGGGAGCACTCTTTGCCAGTCGAGCTGTCGAGCTCTTGGCTACATGAATCAAACACTCGAAATAAGGAAGTACAAACTAATGTACAAGCACAAGGCAAAGTCTACCCTGAGTATTTTCTGCCTGATTTATCCATAATGCTTTAAAAAATAGTGTTACAAATGTCCGACGGTATCTCAGCATATCCATCGGATTTCTCAAATATGACTCCATCCTAAAACCATTATTGAGGAAAAAAGAATGAAAAATATTGTGTATTTGTCTGTTTTCCAACCTGTCTTCTTGTTTCTTTTTGCCTGTTTACTGTGGAAAAGTTTCCTCTTCAAATAATCTTCCGTTTCTGTGAGGTGGTGCATTTGCATTGCTTTATATCACTTTTGCATTTTTCCCTCTAAAAAAGAGAAATAATGAGAACAGATGAAACAACATTCAAAACACACACATGGTTCCAAGCTTTGGCACATTAAACACAATCCTCATCGCAACCATGACTGAAGTCACTGAAGTGACGTGATGGTTTTCTTTCTAAGACATAGTTTCTGAAAAAATCAGCAAATTCATTGTCCTCTTTGAAAAAGCAGAAAACTGTTGATGCTTTCTTAACCTTCCGATCTTGAACTTATTTCTAGTTTTACATTATTGGATAAATATTCAACTCACCCTGGCTTTGTAAAAAGTCCCCATATTCTTCTTTTCTATGTTAGAGCTCGCTTGAACAAACAGTGTTATGTTTATGAATGTATTCAGTAGATGTACAAACTCACACTTTGTTGTTTGAAACTCGAGGAGATATGAGAAAAAACACAGATGTGTTGAAGAATCTGTGAGTAACTTTAAAAAGGGATTTAAATAAAATGTGGATGTGTGTAATAACATGAAATTTTCATTAAGGAAAAGTAATAAAGGAAAAAAGACTGACTCATACTGAGTTGAAATAGATAATTACAGAAAGATCTGAAGACAAAAACTGCTTTTAAACAGGTGGAAAGAAAAGTGGATGAACCTGAGGGTGGAAACTGTCACAGCTCCCAGGGGGCAGAGTCCTGGTGACGGTTGTTATGGGAACCATGGTGCAGACGGCGGAGACGGCAGGGGGTGATGGTGTCACAAGAACAAAACAGATTAGCTAAGTGGGAAGATAACATGTAAATGGGTGTTTTTCTCCATCAGACCTTTCATTTCTCCAACCTCCTGCAGAGACAACAAGCTCTGACAGTGTTGGCTCTTTGTGATCTAAATAAACACCATCTTGTGCTCTCTTGTTCTGTACATTACAACAGACCAGCATTCAGCTTTACACCAAGAATCGGGTCAAGTGGTGTTGTGTTTTTTAAAGCCAACTTGAGACAATGTGTATGTGGCTAAGTGTGCTTTTTAGATATTAAGCAAGATTTCAGCCAGACTCCACAAACAAATGCAAGTCAGTTTTTGATCATGCTTTTTGACATTAACCCAATACTGTATACATCTCTGTATACATTATATATACTATGTACCACTTGTGATGTACAGGACTGGTATTTAAAGAAAAGTAAGACTAAACCAACATGCAAGCTCAGTTTTGTACTCAGTTTTTTTTTTCAGCCTAAAATAAGCATAGGTGTTTTGGAACAGATTTTGCAAGGCGTAAACTACATTAGAAGTACAATCATACAGTCCATATTATCATGTTTTAAATGTATGTAGAGAAAAGAAATGAATAAGGCCCATGGTTGCATGCTGAGATTTGCTCAATGGTACACTTGAAAAAAAAAAAAGTTTAAATACTCTTTTAAAGCACCTGCGATACTAGGATTGTTTTATCACCAGTCATGCCAAAATCAAACCCGAAGTCTCAAAGTATCTTGTTCTCTATGCTACTTGTATTATCAACTTAATTTCAGAGT